TATAGTAATTATTCATGGTTAACAAGCATTTAAATAATGTTCAATTTTGTGCAAAACGTTGAGCTTAGCATGGCAGAGGGAGGGAAAACCCAAAGGAGAATTCACAGTTCCAACTTTTCAGAGAAAATAAGTTAGAGGAAGCCAACTTGTCCATAAATAAAACCAGGGAGTTAAAACAAGGACAGAGAGGAAGCAAGCTCTCTGACCTCTAGTGAACCTCCATAATATGAGGAGTTTGCAATAAAATCCCATTCCAAAGTATAGTCAGCATTCAGACCCTACCAAATCTGCAAACAGGAAGCTGGTCAAGTGGGAGAGGTTGCGGGGAGGACATTCTTACAGGGGTGAAATCAGGACAGACGTGTCAGTGCCATTTTTCAGTTCTGTCCCACTGAGACCACTGAGAGTGGACTGTCCATTCCGTCTGGGGCACTATAGCCAGGGCCACATTCGAATCGAGGTTCGTGTACATGCCATGGTCATTCACAGAATGTTTCCCTGAGATTTGGTTCCAGCAGCCTTCCTAAAACTGTCATTCATTGGCCACTACCAATTTTGTCTTATGAATGAGAGAAATGTGAGTGAATTGTATGTAAAAGTTCTTGGAAATACTGTTCAGGGCAATTCCTTGAAGTGTTCAAGGACTGGGTACAATTTAGGTTTACAAAGCTAATTAGAGTATTTTTATTTCAAGTGAAATTATGAGTCATGATAAACACAGCAACACATTTTCCTTCCCTATCAATATAGTATATTGTAGAATATGAGTGTAATTGTTTCAGATATACATTATTTTCTTAAAAAATTACAAGCTAATATACCTAAGTACTTTACAAATTGAAAAATATTATTAATAGATGTAATATTAATTATAATTAATCAAAGATAGGTGATGACTTTTAATTCTTGACCATAATGAAAATCATTTTAAAAGCAGCTATGTGAGAATGCTTTGAGGAAAATCATAAGGAGGAAAAGTGATTGTGTCAATGATCGCATCTTCCCTTCAGAGAGAAATGGTTTATTGAAACTGCAGTAAAACTGATGACATCGATTTTAAGGAACTACAAATAATTCAAAATGTTCCAAGTACTTTGATTAGCAGGTGTTTTCCTAGAGCAATGGCTCTTGCTCAGGGAGACGTGTCAGAGTCATCTGGAGCAGGGAGAGAGAAGGCTGGCCCTTGGCACATGTGGGGAGAAGCACCCTCAGAGATTGTCTCCCAGCCTGGGAATCACTTATCTGACATCTTAGCGACCTAGACCTAGAGATGCCTGGTGACTCTGCGTGTGAGTTGTTACTCTCTCTGAGAACGTTCTACCGCAGATGCTACCTTTGAACATAAGCATCCCTACAGTCTTAAAATAACATCTCCTGACTTTTTTTTTTTCCAAGAAGATACGTCTTCACTGGGGCAAAGTGACATATGTTGAGATATTTGTTGCTTCTCTGCTGTACACTTATATTAAGAGTAGTGCCAATGACCATATTTCCAAATCCAAAAGGAGGACTCCTGGTCTAAAGATGGAACTGCATTTTAAATAAGGGATGGACCAGAAATCATTGATCACAAGCTTATCATCACCATAACTCCTCTTGTTAGAGCAATCTGTGCACTCTCAGCCATGTCAGGCCTTCCACAAGGATTCATAATCAACATTTGCTATTCCTTGATAATAACAGAGCTGAGAAATACACTATAGGCTTCCAAAACACCTGCTCACCTTTCCCACAATAGGAAAACCTTTCAAAACTGACTCATCTATCCATATTCTTATGCCCTTGATGATGGTCTCCCCTGAATCCTTGCCTCATCATCTAGATTTATCTACAGCTCTTCTCTTTTTTCTTCTGCCTTTAACTTCTTCCTTTCATCCTGTAAACATAAAGCTATTCTAAGTCATAAGCTACACTAAACCGAATAAATTATAGTAAACAAAAATTCAACTTTTGCTTGAAGTCAAATTATTCTAGAGGTTCTGTTGCACATTTACTCACCTTCAATGCCTACTTTCTTAAAATAATAAACTACATTTCCTTACCATAGTGCCTTACATAGGCTAAGTGCATTCCCTTTCAAGTACCCTTGGTGAACAAGTCAAGCTCCATGGGGCCCTTCTGATTTCCAGATTGCAGGTCCTCTGTTCAGGCTTCATTTTGCTGTCCTGCTCTGCTTTGTGGCAGACAACAGGTGCACAAATTTTAGCATTCAAAAAAGTCCCTTGGGATGCTTGTTTAAAATGCAGATTCCTTGGCCACATCTCTTGAGATGCAGATCCATTACAGCTGGATTGGGATCTGGGAATCTGAATTTCTGGTGCATGATTCTGGTACCAGTGGCCTTCAGACCACTGACTAACATTCTTTCTTGAGCTCCCTGCCTTTAGTCTATGTTACCCTTTCTTAACCCTTCCTTTCTGGTTATTTTTTCTTACTTGGATTCCTCCTTTCTTTTATTCATTAAATTTATTGGTACCTTTTGGTATACATTATGATCACATTCATCATTGGGAATTTGTACCTGTGCATGATACATCTTAGTTCTTGTTTTTTCCTGTTCCCCTCCCCTCCCTTCCACCCCTCTAGCCATCCCTATTTACAAAAGCTTTATTCCCATTTTCTCCTTCTCTCATTTTTTCTTTCCCTCCCCCAGCTTCCCTCCCCCTTTGAACTTTTTTTTCCTATCTCACAACATCTATTATACATTTTGATCCTCATTTACACTTTCAGTTTCTCATACCAGTGAAACAATTTGGTATATACACATGCATAAATGAGGACCAAAATGTATAATGGAGTTCTCCTTTTATAACCAGCCTTTCAAAATGTATTCTTCATAGTCTGCAGACTCTCAAGATGATACTCATTTGTTTATAAGGCTCCAACTCTATGCCAACCAGCCTAAACTGATGGGATATAATTCTCTTTTTCTCTTCTGGACCTTAGAACTACATTTCTTTATGTTTCTATCTGGTCCCTTGGAAATATCATATCCCATACTAATCCCAAGAACTTGCTCATTCTCATATAGCATCCAGCTGGTCACTCAAATGGAAAAACACATCATTTTCAACTTCTCCTAACTCACCTCATGCCAATTATGAACTTAGCAATTTGATCCTCACTTCTCTTCCCACTGTTTCCCAAGTGCATGCTTTTGATGTTAACTGTTGGATAATTCTGTTTGCTTCCTTGAACTGGTTCCCACGACATCTTTATGTCAAATTTACGTACTCAAAAATTAGAACTGATCTTATCATTTCTCTGCTAATAAATCTCAGCAAAGTTCCTATTAGCCTTAAAACAGCATAAAAACCCATCATGTCCTTAATATCTTTATAATCTTACCCCAGGCTTTTCCCCTCCTACCACATTATCTCTCTTTGGCTTCTTTTACCCGTCCTATCTCAACTCTAACCGGTTCTGTAACACCATTTGTCTTCTACATCTCTGCTTTTCTGCCATCTGTTTCCTTGCCAGAAGGCTTCTTTTAGGCTTACATCCATCTCTCAAGAAGCAGCTCAAATGTTACTGTTTCATTTCTCTTCTATCACAATATACACTCCTCACTGGCAAGAATAAAACTTCAGTTGTTGCCATATTTCTGTCATTAGCAGCATGTCTTCCCAGGACCATAAATGTTTATGGAAGGAATAAAGAAAGAACCAAATACTCAGTGAATAAATAAGTGACGTGTTACTTGAACATGGCCAGACAGAACTGATCACTCTTTAGTTATTAACCACACTTGCTTCATTTCTTTAGTTTAGTTCTTACCTTATTCTATTATATTTCGTTGTTTACACATCCGGATTTCTAGACAGACTGTAAATTTCAGAAGAGAAAAAAATGTGTTATTTACCTTTGTCTTCCCAGAATCTCACACCAAAGATGTCCACATGTGATTATTAAAAAAGTGATGATCTTAAAGAAAGTGGATGTTGGTAGGGGTTGAACAAACTAGGGATCCAGTGGGTCGTTGCTTACCCTTAATGTAGTGATCAGCTTTTCTATTGCTTGGGGGGAAATGCCCAGCACCCACAACTTAAGGAGAAGTTTATTTTGACTCACTGTTTCAGAAGTTTCAAAACCTGGTCAGCTGGCTCCAAGGCAGGAATGTCGTGGTAGAATGGTATGGGGGAACAAAGCTGCTTGCTTGATGTCTACCAGCAGTCAGAGCACAGGGAAGAAATACAAAAGGAAGGGGCTAGAGTCTAACATAGTCCCTAAGATCGTGTCCCCATGATTCTCCCATGCACACCAAGAAGTCTGCTTCACTGATCTCTTAAGTATCTCTTTACCCAGTCCTACTGATAGTCAAGATTATCCGGACATGACTTTTCATTACTCAAACTCCAATTGCTTGAATGAATGTAATATATCACTCTCATCCCTCTTTTCTTAAAAAGTTCACTGTTTTTTGGTTGTGGTTGATTAAACCCCAGGCTTCACATATGGTAGTCAAGGGCTTCACCCTGAGCCTCACTCCCATAGCCTGATAGTTCATCTTAAATATGTTTTCTTCCATAACTGAGTTTCAACTCAAAAAGCACCGAAAGGCAACCCACCAGTGCCAAAATTATATTTGGTCAGTATCAGAACCATGGCTACATAATCTGTTCAATGACAATCTGTTGAAAATGTTTCAAAAAATATTTTGCTCAGATTTTCCTTGTAGGACTATAAATTATGTTCTTTGTGAAAATAATGTTTGTGACAACCACAGAATTTCTGTCAGCATTGGAACTGTGTTGAGTGTAATAGCTGTTAATACTTATTGAATATACTTTGCATTATCCCACTTATTTAAATCTCACAAGTACTCTATAAAATGTCCCATTTTGCAGATGAAACAGACACAGGAAAACTCTGCAAGCAGTAAGTGTCTGAGGTAGGATGGACCAAGGCGATTTGGCTTTAGACTCAGCATCCACTTCTGTACACGAGGTTGACATGAGCTGGGCTTTTACTAACACTGGGTGTTTGGCTTCTGCTCACAGGGTGAAGAAGCTGAAGGAGACTCTGGTGGCTGTGCAGCAGCTTGATAAGATATAGAGTATACTACTCAGCCATAAAGAATGAGAAAGTAGATTCATTCATAGTTAAATGGGTACATTTTGAGGATATACTTCTAAGTAAATAAGGCACACATATGCAAATAGCGAATAGTATCTCTGGTGTGAAAAACTAATAGTACTCTGTAATAGCTAAAACTTGGAAACTGCCCATCTGCCCATCAGTTGGAGACTGGATAAAGAAGATGTGGTTTTTTAACAAAATGGAATACTACTCAGCCATAAAGAATGAGAAAGTAGATTCATTCATAGTTAAATGGGTACATTTTGAGGATATACTTCTAAGTAAATAAGGCACACATATGCAAATAGCGAATAGTATCTCTGGTGTGAAAAACTATAATAGTACTCAAGATCCTAAAGGGACACTTAGCAATATGAAATAGGAAGAAAAGGACCAAAGGTGTAGGGACAGTGAGAAAGATAGGGAAAGGGAAATAAGGGAAAAGGAAAAAAATATGAGAAAATGTAAAAATGGAATTAAAGTGTTTGAAGGTGGGGAGGGGAGAAGGGGGTGAAGGGAGGGTGGGGACAAGGGGAAAAAATGAGAACCAAGACCTGGCATGTAAAGGTACAAGATCCCAGTAATGAATGTAACTGTACTGTCTACCTAGAATGTGCCAATAAATTCAATTTAAAAGAAAAAATGAAAAAAAATTCATGCCAAACTGGAGAAACAACAACAACAAAAAAATTTAGCATTGCATTTTAAAAAATTTAAGATCGAAATTCTTTGAAAGGTGCTTCTGTTTGAGATTTTGATGATTGCATTATAAGGCTCCCCAAATTCTCCTGGAAAACATAGTAATGATGGCAACTATGTGTATCAGTGATAAGACTTATACTGCTAGTGGCCAATATTATAACTTAGCAAATGTACAGAAATCAAAAAGTATCTAATTAAATATGTCAAGTTGATCAAATGCATTTGTAGCCCAACCTACTATAAAAGCCACAGTGAAATCACAGTAAAGGGAGGACAAAAGGGCAAACCCCACAATGGTAAAGAGAAAAGGAGAAAAATGTTAGACCTGAGCGACATCCAATGGAATTTTGGACGATAGTGACTAGAGGAACACCGAGGGCATCAGCAGAAAGGTCATTCAAGTTACAAAGTTCCAAGGCTCAGAAAACTGAGATCAAGTCAGGGTGAGCTGCGTTTTCTACAGAGCTGTAAAGAGGATCGTTGCTTCAGAGTCAGGATCAGGAGTGGTTAAACTGGCAGGTCCTCCACCGCCCAGAATCCAGCGAGCTCTGCTGTACCCACTCTGGCAGCAGACCAGAGGAACACTCTCTGGTGAAGGCAAAGCAGACTGACTTTGGGCGTAGGGGTCAGCACACCCTCAGAGCTGCAGTCAGTACATTAAAGACAAGGGGTTGAGGTGAATGGCTGTGTGCCAAACATCTGACCGACAGCTCTCTCCTCCGATCTGTCTCCCGCAATGTCAGTAGCTTATCACCCAACCCATAATGGGAGCGGTCTCTGAGAAGCCCCCCAGATGAGGAAAAATACCTTCGGGGGTAATAATTAAGGAAGCCCAGCAAAGACTCCCAACCAACTTATTTTTTTCCTCTCTCTCTCATTGAGATTATTGGTACATTTTAGGGATACAGTACAGTTACATTCATTATTGGGATGTCGTACCTTTACATGACAGGTCTTGGTTCTCATTTTTTCCCCTTGCCCCTGCCCTCCCTTTACCCGCCCTTCCCTCCCCATCTACAAACACTTCATTTCCATTTATTCATTTTCTCATAATTTTTCTTTTCCCTTAGTACCTTTTCCCTACCCCTCCCACTTTCCCTACACCTTTAGCCCCTTTCTTCCTATTTCACATTGCCATTATATCATTAGGATCTTATGTACTATTATAGTCTTTCACACCAGCGAAACTATTCAGTATTTACACATGTGTGACTTATTTATTTCACTTAGGAGTATGTCCTCAATATAAGAAAATGGAAAGATATCCCCAACCAACTTCTTTAAAATGATGGCTCCTGGTTGGCATGCATTAGTTTACAGCATCCAGTGACTGACTCAGCCCTAACCTTTTTCCCCTCGCTGCATTGCCAGGGATTGAACTCAAGGCCTTAGGCATGCTAGGCAAGTGCTCTACCACTGAACTATTCCCGCAGCCCTGCCACGTTCTTAGCTGGCCCACTTAAGAAATCTTCCCCCATGAAAAAGTAAACCAAAGTAAATGAGGGTGTGGGAGATAAATAAAAGAAAACATTATGGAAAGAGAAAAATACTTATTTAAAAAAAAAAGATTTTTTGCACTTAAGAAAAAGAAGAGGATGTCATTGTCTTTTTTAAAAGAAACTTTCAGAATTGAGAAAATTTCCCACAAAGTGAAACAAAAAGATAAATATATGAAAAATAGAAGAGAATTATAATAAAATTAAAAGATTAATGCAGGGGTTTCAAAATCCAGTTCAGTTATTCAGTAAAAATCCCCCCCAAAATTTTAAAAGTGGAGAAGAAATTATCAAGTAGTAATGTTAATCCCAAATTAGAAGCAAATACTTCCAGATCGTAAAAGCCTCACAAATGCCCAAGAAATGTTAAAACAAAACAAAACCAGTCCAGGGACACCACATTATAGTTTTGCCAAAATGAGGGATACAGAGGAGATTTTTAAGTTTTCAGGATGGAAAATATCTGGTTTCTCCAAAACAAAAAAACGGGATCTGGAAGGCAATGGTATACTTCCTTTGAAAGTCTGGGAAAGTATCTTAATTTTTTGAATTTTATATTCTACAATTTAATATACAAAAATTTCACCACATATGCACCTATTTTTATAACAGCAAAGTGATAGAAAGAATAATGTTCAACTTTGGAGAAAGAAAAATGGCGTGGCATTCAGCTGAAACAATGAATGAAATCCTGTCATTCTCAGTAAAACCAGTGGAAGTAGAAAATATTATGTTAGGTGAAATAAGCCAGAAACAGAAAAAAAAATTGCATGGTCTCTGTTATATGTGAAAGTTTAAAAAACGAAAAAGGGTAGATTTGAATATAGAATAGTGATCCGTAGTGGTTGAGATGGGAGGGAGAATATGTAAAGGGAGGTAGGATTTGATCAGCACACACTACATATGCGTGTATTGTGTATTGAAATATCACACTGAGCCAGCGGTATGTACAAAATTAATGATGTTAACCGAAAATAGAACTTTAATCTCTATGATAAATGTAACTGTATACCAATAAACCTAATGAAAAAAATAGAATTTTAAAATAAGAACTCTCAGGATGAAGATGAAGCGGAGTTCCTGAGGATGGTTGTCGTGCAGCAGCCAGTACAGGCCAGGTGGGAGCAGGGGTGGGGGCCTGAGGACGGAGATTTCCAGGGGACTGGACCCACCTGAGGGGCATAACTATACTAGAAGAGAATTAGTTCTACAGGAGAGGGACAAGAACCAACAGTATAAACTTGAGAGAGAGACAGAGAGAGCATTAATTCCAGAAAATTCAATATTTTTACAAGAAAAGAAACATAACCATAGTTTATTTCATTTCTGAAATGTGAAAAATATTAAATAACTGTAATCGTGGAAACAATGACTATTGTTCTAACTGTAAATTGTGCTGAAATCGTCATGGGAGCCCAGTGACGCATGACAAAGTTTATTCCTTCACTACTATGAAAGAGTCAAGAATATGTAAAATTTTAAAAAAATGAATAAATATCTGTATAATCATTTGTTTAGAAATGTAGATATAAATACCAGAAGAAGGAGCTCCAAAAAAAAAGAGATGGATGCTTCTGGAACAGAGACGTGGGTAGAAAGGCTCCTGCTTCATTGGATGCCTTCTATACTTTTGTTTTTACTTTTTCATATATTAATATATGTGTATATATCATTTAAATTACTCTTTTAAATTACTATTTTAAAATTACATACCAATGAGTAAAAGTAAAGACTTCCTGGGTTCAAATCCTGGGCTTATCACTTTTCTGAATAAACTACAGCAAAGTAATTAATCATTTTAACCATTAGATACCTTATTTATAAAATGTTGATGATCAGAATGCATGCCACAAAGTGTCATTGTACAAATTAAGGAGAAAAGTCATGAGCACAGTGCCTAGTGGAAAGGAAATGCTTAGTACATTTTATTATAATGATATCACATATACTATGAGTTCTTCTCTGGAAAAAAAAAAACTTCTACAAATCTATTCTACAAAAATTGTACCATTTGGAATCTGTATTTGTCAGCAGTCACATCATTCAGAAAATACTACCTGACACCCACTCCTTAAAGGAAGGGTGATTTTTTGGGTCATGGTTTCAGCACTTTGAGCTCCTGGTGAGCTGGCTCCAAGATGGAGACATCATGGCCGAAGGGTGTTGTAGAACAAACCCATTTACTTCAAGGAGGCTGGGAAGCTAAGAGCAGGGAACAGTGCCACAGTGGAAGAGGTCAGAGTCCAAATACGGACCCCAGGCTCACACTTGCATGACCCACCCAGATACACCCAGAAGTGTGCTCTTCTAATCACCTAGGCAGCTTCTAAGCCAATCAAACTGACAATTAAACTGAACTGCCACAGGGTCCAAACTGTAAAAGACGAAAAGCTGTCTGCCTCTAAAAAGGGAAAAATTCTGACAGATATATGTGGACATATTAAATTGATAAGAAGTGAATTTGCTTCTACTTCCCTATGTCGTTTTTCTGTTTTTATCTTGCCAGTGTGCTTATTCTTACAGATTTAGTTGGGCAGAACTACAATATATACAGACTTGAGATAAGTTTAGGACCTTAAGAAAAACTTGAGCACTGAGGAAATGATGTCAATATGCTACGTGTTAAATTCTTGGATTACATTCAGGTGCCTAACACTTTTCTTTCAAATGTGTATCCTTGTACTTTTACCTTGGATATACGTGGTCATCTCACCCACAGAGCTCTCTTTTCCCTTATCTTTAATTTTTGTAATGTTTTATATTTTTAGATTAACAAGCCCTTGTTAAACCTTTGTTCGTAAGTGAAAGAGGTTTTATTAAAGATTTAAAAAGACTATTTACTAAAATAGAAATACTTCAGTGGTTTTTAATCATCTAATGTCTAGTTTATAAAATGTCCAAAATTTTATCTAAGGTACTCTCATTACCCCTGAGAATAATTTAGTCTTTTTACAGACTTTGGAACATGGTGTTGAGGAGAAAAATTGGAAACAAAGCAATACAATAAAAATTCTAGGTACCTGAGTAAGTTGAGGAATTATTACAGCAAGACAAATAAATGGAAAAACTCAAGAAATACATGAAAATGTGTTAAGGTTACTGATGGATAGGACAGGTAAAAAAAAAAATGGTACCTGTAGAGCTCACTTTTAGTAATGGAATACTTGCTTCAAGTGAATTGGGTTAAAATCTTATGATAGTAAGCTTTCTATTACTGTGACAAGATATAGTCAGTCAGCTTATACCATCTTATAAAGAGAAAGAGTTTTATTTTGGTTCACAGATTTAGAAATTTTGTTTCAGGGTCATTTGGTTTTGTTGCTTGAGGCACACAGCAGCACAGGATCACAGGGCCTTTGCCTCATAGTTGCCGGGACACAAGAAAAGAGAAAGAGGAAGAGGACAGTGCCCCAGTGTCCCCTTCAAGGACACACCCCCAATGATCTAACTTCCCTTCCCCACCCCCTCCGTCCACCAAAGGTTCCACTGCTTCCCAGTAGTTCCCCAGGCTGGTGACCAAATCTTTTCCAACAGATGGTTGGTCTCTAGGAAACATTCTGGAACCACTATAGCAAAGCTCAATGGAGAAAATAGTTAAGAGGAAGATTTCGCCTGTAGGAGTGGGGGAAATTTAGTTTCTTCTTTTTCATCATAAGATTTCTATTTTTGTGCTACATCTAAATTTATACTCTGAGGAAACTGCTAATAATAATGATACCCTGCCTGATATAGAACCAAGGTCCCTTAAACCAGGATACCTTTTGGTGATGGTGGAATTCACTATAGCAAAACTTGCAGATCTTTACAGTTTAAATCCCAGATCTAGGGCCAAAGATTTAGCTCAGTGGTTCCACCGCCTGCCTCACAAGTGAAAGGACTTGAGTTCCATCCCTGGTACCAAAAAAGCAAAAACAAAAACAAATAAATTCCACTTCTTGAGAACCAGTTATTAATAGATGCACATATAATTCCACTGATACATTGATTGATTGGAATAGAATTGATGTATCTGTAAAGGAACTAGGGAAAGATTAATTTCTTAATCATTAAAGTAGTTTCACTCAGTATAGTCTGTTGCATTGGCTTGGTTTATATTTTGGCATTTCTTACATAGCTGAAATATTTCTAGATCCATTTTTGTGTGCTGTATTTTTGAACTTGCTGGATTTCTTAATCAAGGTTCAAGACACTTTGTACATTCAAGAAAGTGAGATACAGGTCAAGGTTTACCACACCATTTATCAGTCACTGAACGCTGCTGCAGTCTCTGCCACCTGTATGCATGGCATTTCTGAATAAAGTGTGCTCTGTTACTCTCAGGAGCTTCAGAGAGACATTGAGAAGCACAGCACGGGTGTCGCCTCTGTCCTCAATCTGTGTGAAGTCCTGCTGCACGACTGCGATGCTTGTGCCACCGATGCTGAGTGTGACTCCATCCAGCAGGCAACACGAAACCTGGACCGGCGGTGGAGAAACATCTGTGCTCTGTCCATGGAAAGGAGGCTCAAGTGAGCTGGAATGTTCAGTTAGGGAAGAGGAAAGACCAAAAAGGAAAAGGAAATACGTAGAGCATCCATTGTTCAGTATCTCCCTTTGGCCCCAGTATCCAAAAATAGCCTTAATTTCCCAAACACGTGCCTTCATCTTCATTTAGTTGGGAAAATAAGTAGGTACAAAGGTAATATGTAAATATAACAAGCTAAGTTATGTCTAACCAACTGAATAGGTTAAATAGAAAATAGAAAAATTAAAATATGCCCTCTCCAAGCAAATATAACTTCGAAGAATGTGTGCTTGTGAAAAAAGCAGCATTTTTTAATTAATTAAAATTTGAATGATTTAAAGGGGTGCATAATTCGTATTTTAGTCCTTTGAAATTTAAGGTGACAAAAAGTCAAAATGCATAATTATTAAATTATAATGATCTACATCACAAAAATCACTGTGCTCTCCAGTGACTCTTGAAAGCTTGCTATTCATCTTGCTGTCATCAGCTGACTTTTGTCCTGGAAGGTTTGATGTTGGACAGCAGTTTTCTTTTAGTGGAACCTCAGCCTCAGTGCCTTCTCTCAGGATAAGGTATTTCTAGACTTCCTTGCGAATATCCAAAGCAGTTCATGTTACGTGCTTAGAATATTCAACGTGATAAGCTCCAAACCCAGAGCTGTAGAACATAAAAAAAGCAGCTGTTTTATTTTAGCTCAAACAGTTGTCTCTCTCTGGTCAGTTTGGCTCAAGGCAGTTATTGTTTGGCACAGCAGTTGCTTACTTGGGCACTCTTAATCCCGTCGCAGGCATCAGACTGGGGCACTGGAGCACAAACACCTTTAATAATGGGAATCTGTTCTTTGCTTTTCCGCCACAGGATCGAAGAGACGTGGCGACTGTGGCAGAAATTTCTGGATGACTATTCTCGTTTTGAAGACTGGCTGAAGATTTCAGAAAGGACAGCTGCTTTTCCCAGCTCCTCTGGGGTGCTGTATACAGTTGCCAAGGAAGAACTAAAGAAATTTGAGGTGATTTACAGTTTCAGATATTTGAAGCTTACTTTGCTATTACAGTGACCGGCTGGTGGTTGGTGTTCCAAGACATAATTTGTTCAAATAGCTGGGCGATGACTTTGTAGCCACTGTGAGCAAGACCTCATAAATAGGAAACAAGGCATAAGGGAAATCTTTGTTTTAATTTCAGGTTATCAAAAATTGCAAATAAATTAATAGAAAAGAGAAATTCTGTTAGAAAACAAGATCTATGATTCCCCTCCAAAAGTTATAGGCATAATATATTGTTCATTTCAGAATTCTTCAAAATCAATCATCTTTTCTAAGATTAAAATATTGTTTAAAATACTATAAAAATCTACCTCCTTCATATATTTTCTTGTTTTTTTTATCTAATTGAAGTGTGTATAATTTTAATCATGAATAAGAGTTTGCTTCAGAATTGAATAAAACATTTCTTCTATAATCCTTTTATAATTGCACAACAAAGAGCAGGACCCTTCTTGAGACACCAACACTTTTCACTTACACTAAGAGAAACATGGCAGTGGTGTAATTATGTTCATAAAGGAATTATTCAATAATTGATACCAGTAGCTTGTCCATTTGTACAATCTTGAGTTCACTTTACCACTGGAATACCATGAAAATGCCTACTCAGCTGCTTCTGATTTTCTCAGAAGTCCCTTGCCATAGCCTCATATGGACCATACTTTAATTTGAAATTTCTTTTCCCTTCAGTTCCCTCTGATAAGCACAGGGGATTAGGTGTATTCACAAACAGCAGAGAATTTGGATGTACTCCGATCATTCTATCTGCTCCTCTGTGAATTTTGTCGCAGTCTCTTTAGGGTGTTAGAAATAAAACAAACAAACAAAAAAAAGAAAGAAAAAGAAAAGAAAAGAAAAGAAAAAAATCAAGCTAAATTCACTTGGATTGGTTGGACTATTTTAGCTTCTTACATTGTTAACCAGGCATCAACTGAGGCCTGTTATTTGAAATGTGAAGTTTCCTTTTTGTTCTGATGGGGTTTAAAGTCTAAGAGTCATGGCAGAACAGCTATGTGAAGATTCTAGAAGTAAACAGCAGTAGATTCAGGTCATCCCAATGTGGACCTATGAAAGTGGGGGTGATGCTCTCCGTGTCTTATTACATTCAGCTTCATTAAGGTCAGAACTTTTTATAATTGACTTATCCTACAAAGTGGATTATATATGATCGAGACCCTTTGTGATGCTCTTTTAGACTCTGCTTCTGTAACAAAAATTGCCAATATAGTCAGCTTCTATAATGGCCGATTTTATCATTTGTCATTAATCTTCTAGTTAATTTTCTCAAGAGACAGAAATAAGTCAAGAATAAAACTTTTGCTTAAGGACACTGCCACCCATTCCAATGGCATGGATGTTTGGGGGGACCTGAATATCCTGGGGTGCCCACTCTTGGGAGCCATGCCTTCACCCCAGCTGGGCAAACACATATTCTGCCTTCCAGTAACAGCACAAGCTCGACCTGCCTCACCACTTCTCTCACTGGGAAAGGGAGTTTTATAGAACCAAAGGTTAAATTTACTAGGATGGGAGCTCTCAAAGCTACTCACAGAAGGAAAACCATTTAAGAGGCAGGGATATGCTAACTGTAAATGTAACATGAACAGTGTGCTGAGCCAAGGGAAACCGAACTTCGTGATTTAGATGAGTACAGACCAATTACTTAATTATAAAAATTTTCATCAAATGCCAAGATCAAAATCAGTCTTAAATCATGCAAAGTACCTCAGAAGATAAAATCTTTATTTTGGCCAACTGATTCTTATGCTAAGGATGTTATACATTGCAGGGCCAAAGCAGGAAGAGGAATTTTATTGCAGAATTTCTAAACTTTGTAGGGTGTCCTCAAAAGTAAATAGCCACTATTGTGGAAAGAGGTACACTAACTCTAAGAGGTTTTAGAAAAACTAAATAATTCAGGAGGATAAAAGAAAAAGAATAGGGCATTTCCAGTTGTTGTTGTTTTTTTAATAGAAAGTTAGCCTGTGTTTTACTAAACTGCTTTTCTCAAAAGTTATTAACAGTTTCCATTTAGAGGGCCTTCTGAAAAAGGGTGATTTTAATTTTGTTCCTAATGGATACCAGAATTGAGACAATCTCTGGGAAATTAGGAAATTAAACATTTTACAAATAAAAGAGTTTTCTTATAATTACCTTTTCCTCACTATTGACACAAAAAATATTAAACACTTCAAACTCACATATATGTTTTTGTGATACTTTATATAGTGGTAAAATTTGTTTCCAGATGTGGTTATTTTAAAAGCCATATATATATATATATATATTACACAAATGTGTAATATATATATATATATATATATATATATATATATATATATATATATATATATATATATATATATATATATATATATATATATATATATATATATATATATATATATTACACAAATGTGTATGTTCATTGAGATTTATTTGTACATTTACTTACACACAATTGATTTACTACTATCCCCCATGGTTTTCATGTTCTTTATTGAGCCACGATTTTCCTTAAGCTATTGGTTAAGTAAATTTGCTTTAATAAATGAGGCACATGGTCTTCAGACTGTCTTTTCCTTGCGCCTGTGGAGGGGCCACTTGTGTCTTCACTGGTGCTGCAATTTGAAAACCAGAAGCCCTGCCTGAGAGTCCCTCACCAATGACCCATGCTGACACTGACATGATGCTTTGTGGCCCTAGGCTTTCCAGCGACAGGTCCACGAGACTCTGACACAGCTGGAGCTGATCAACAAACAGTACCGCCGCCTGGCCCGAGAGAACCGCACTGACTCAGCGTGCGGCCTCAAACAGATGGTTCACGAAGGCAACCAGAGATGGGACAACCTGCAAAAGCGTGTCACCTCTATTTTGCGCAGACTCAAGGTTTGAATTGTGCTCGTCCATCATTTAGAGCCCAGAGGATGGGACTGGGCTGTGGGAGAACAGTCTTGAGATGTGATGCCAGTGCAGGTGTGAGGTCGGGTGGAGGAGGGATGGGGGTGTGATGGCCTGTGGAGAAAATGCCTTTTCCACAGGGCGCTGGAATTGGCTGGGCCGTCTCAGTATGGTGTGGACTTTTTAATTTCTGTTATCTTCCTCTTGCACCCAGCATTTCATTAGCCAGCGTGAGGAGTTTGAAACTGCAAGGGACAGCATTCTAGTCTGGCTGACAGAGATGGATCTGCAGCTCACTAATATTGAACATTTTTCTGAATGTGATGTTCAAGCTAAAATAAAACAACTCAAGGTAATGGATTGATTATTTTTCATGTTATCAACATAAGGATAATATAAAGTCAAAAAGTTCTTGACAAAAAATAAACAGGAAATATAAAAAATTAATAAAGAACCCTAGCTAGAGACAGCCACCATAATGTATATACGTTTAAATAGTAACTTTTGCCAGGTTGTTAGGGATTTCTTTTGTTACTGTATTTCTTCTGGTTGTTTCTAGAACCTATAAAAAGGTCATTCAGATGCCAAGTTCTAGAACAAAACAATGTGTTGAGATTTCATTGTGCATCCCCTACAGCCATAGATACCTATTATATTTTTCACCAAATAAACCATAGTAGCTATCTATAAACGTGAATAAAAAGTTAGATAGAAGGATCTCCTAAATAGGGTGCTTAATAAGTTGAAAACATTTGCACAGCAGCTTAAGAAACTTTCTTCCTACTACAGAGGGATCCATTTTGTTGGTTTTGATTTCAGTTTTGGTTTTGATTTTTGGTGCTGGGGATTGAACCTAGAGCACTGGCGGTGCTAAACACATGCTCTACCATGAAATTACACTCGGTTTTTTGAAGAATATTAATTGTGTTCATAAGCTCTCGGTTATTATAATAAAAACATGAAAGTTACTCTTACTTTAAGTATCAAGATGAAAGAAGTCATATGATAGTAAACCCCGCTATTCTACCCCAATGCTTCCTCCCTCTTCCCCTCCCTCACAACTTCATCTCCCCCACACAACTCTTCTAAGTCAATTCTTCAATAGGAAATTTCTAACAAGTGATGGTTGGTTTTTTTTTTCCCCCTATGGTAAGATCATGGATCTCAATACTACCCTCCCTCTGCCATCCTGGCAGTCTTTTTCATCATTGGACCATTTCAACCCTTCCAGAGTTTATTCTCACTCTGAATAAATAAAATTTGTCATTTGAAATGTCCCTAGGGATATAACTCTCTCAAACACTGTATAGAATTAGTCTCAATAATCTCAGATTTCCCTCCTTTAACATCATTATCACTTTATGCTCTAGTCCCTATGCCTCAAAGCAAAAAGAATAATCTGAGAAGAATCTGTGACTTTGTCATTTGAATGGTTTCCATTAGTCGGGTTTGATGTATAATTTATATTGTGATAATTCAGAAGGTTTAAAGCACGCCCTTGTTTTTATCAGGAATCACCAATGCTACTAACTTGATGGTTTGTTTGAATATTTTCTATTATTCTCTACCCACACTGACTGTGCTGGTAGACCTTACACCAGAGGATCTTTCCCAATCATAGAATTCTAATGTTTACATTTCTAAGTCCTGCTATTGCTTATAGTTGTATGTTTTACTTTAGCAAGTAATAGCCTCTCAGCTTGTCACTAGACGACAAATCACATACCCCCTACACAGTGCTCGCAAACCTATGGCACATGTGCCATAGCAGGCACGGAGACCCCCTCTGTTGACCTGCAAGCCAAGTCACCCCAGCAGCCAAGCATCAGATAACAGTTGTTATTGTTTTTTTTCCTAAATTAAAACCTCAGTATTCGGATTTAATTGCAGTGTTGGCACTTTGTGATAAATAAGAGGTTTGGGGGTTGCAGTTTGGAAACTCAGTCTCTAAAAGGTTTGCCATCACTGCCCTGCACTGTTTCTCTAACATAATGAGACATATGTGCCTTATAATTATTTTGGGTCAAGGAGAACAATGACAAAGTCAGCAGGGATCTGTGCTCCCCAGGCCTTCCAGCAAGAAATTTCACTGAACCACAGTAAGATTGAGCAGATCATCCTGCAAGGGGAGCAGCTGATTGAGAAGAGTGAACCCCTGGATGCAGCCGTCATTGAGGAGGAGCTGGAGGAACTCCGCCGCTACTGCCAGGAGGTCTTCGGGCGCGTGGAGAGATACCATAAGAAACTGATCCGCCTGCCTGTGTGTAACTCAGTACTTTCAATATCATGAAATGCAGAGAGAATTAGTCATGTGGGCATAGACAGCGTAGTAACATAGACAAGAGCCCACACCCCAGAGCCAGACACCTGTGTTCAATCCTAGCTTTGACACATGCTGGCTGTGTCACATTGGGCAAGTTCCTCACCTATCTTGCTCAGAGTTCTCAACTGTAAAACAGGCTTAATCACAGCAGCAACTACCTCCTAGAAAGGACTGGGCTTTTTACCTGTTTCGTCTTACTAGTATATGTTTATGATACATGGTAATTACACTCGTCTTGGGGAGCCGGTGCATAGCCTATCTCAGTAACCCTTTTCACTTTCCCTTCTGCTCCCCTCTACCTCCACCTCCATACCACGATCCCCCTTCCATCTGCACAAAGCTTCCCTGCTTGTTCCATATCATCTGTCCTTTATTTTACTCTTTGCTTATATTCGGAGTTTCTTATATAAGAGAAACTATGGGGTATTTAACCTCGCAACCATAATACTAAGTGAAATAAATCAGTCACAGAAGGTTAAATATCAGAAAGATCGTTTTGATGATTTGACGAGTTAGTATACATAAAGACTTGAGAAGAGTCCTTGCCGTATGTCTTCTATGAAAGTCAGAGACGCTTCTAGAAGAAATGGGGAGGTGACTTGAACAATATAAGCAGTTACTTGTCTGATGAGGTTATATTAGGTGCATTTTTCTTCCATTTTGCCACCACGATCACATCTCGTCTTTATATATGTGATTAAGGTATTTGGAAGCTTCTATGATTAAACATATTTTATATCTGGGATAAAGGGGGCAGGCTAAGGTCTTGCTAGTAATTTATTTTTGTTCCTGATATGTGTCCTTGTGTGCCTGTTGTGTTGCAAACATGATACTTTATATTTAATCATCTATCAAGTCTCTAAGTAGGTCTTGGTATTCCCATCTTACTAGTGATAAAACTGAGACTTTGAGGTGAATGTGTAAGACATTTCTAAAGTGATCAGAGATTATGGTGTATTGTTAGTAAGGAGTTTAAAATTACTGTGTGTTGTAGACAGGTATAGATCACCTGACTGATGGTAGCTCAGCTGGAGTGATCTGCTGAGGTAGCACCTGTCAGGTGAGGGCCCTGAGCCCTGCAGTAATGGAATTGGCCTGACTTCCCTTCTAGCTACCGGATGATGAGCACGACCTGTCTGACCGGGAGCTGGAGCTCGATGACTCTGCGGCCCTCTCAGACCTGCGCTGGCAGGACCCGTCTGTGGACGGCGTGCTCTCCCCCCAGCCTTCCTCCAACCCCTCCCTCTCACTCCCCCAGCCCCTGCGCAGCGAGCGGTCGGGACGGGACACCCCGGCCAGCGTGGACTCCATCCCTCTGGAGTGGGATCATGACTATGACCTCAGTCGTGACCTGGAGTCCGCAGTGTCCAGGACTTTGCCATCTGAGGATGAAGAGGGCCGGGAAGAGAAGGATTTCTACCTTAGGGGCGCCGTGGGCTTATCAGGTAAGGAAGTGCTTTTCCTGTATGCCAGCTTGGAGGAAAGCAATGAGAGGCTACTGCTGGGCTGGAAACATATCAGCTAAGCAGATTCACCTTCTGTGAAATTCGTGATGCTATGATAATGATGAAGATGTGGTGACATGGAAACGTAACCATGGGGCAGCTCACCAGCACCGGGAGGAGGCTGCAGGGGAGAGCTGAGAACAGAAGCACTAGTGGCAGTTGCCGGGTGGATGAGGCAGTGTTCAGGAGAAGAGAGGGAAGTACCGTCCATTTCTGTGGTTAGCCTTAGTGCCTTTGGTGAGCTGAAGTTTGACCAGAATGGCAAGATCATAGGTTGAGTGGTGTGGAGTAGACAAGGAAAAGGCTGGAAGGGCAAGGCAGGATGTTCACAACGTGGCCTATTCACCACAGAAAGGGGTTTGGCTCTTATTCGGAAGGTAATAGGGAGCCACAGCATGGTCTGAGGAGGGAGGGGATGTGATCAAGTGCAGTTTTATATTGTTTCAGTCTAGACACTGCAAGAGAAGAGACAATAGGGCAGAAGGGAGCATAGGTGGAAACATGTTATAATCCAGGATAGAGATAGGATAGTGACCTGAACTAAAGAAGCAGCGCTGGGCTGAGAGAATGTGGAAGTGGTGAGGAATCATGAGAAGACTCCACCATAATGGATGATTGAATTGAGACAGGGACACGCCTTGGTGGAAGATGTGCGTGTTCCTAGGCCCTTATGACCGCAAGAGGGAAGCAAGACAGTAAGGTGCGGGAAATGCTGAGTGCAGTTAGGTTTGCCTGATTTTGAGATACTCGTAGAATTTCCAAATGCAAAAATCCAAAACTAGATATGTGAATCTGTATTCAGGACCTAGAACTAGATCAGGTAGTTATCCATGCATAAATAGTTGTCCCTGAGCGAAAGGAGGGAACCATACATGAAAGGTTTATAAGGGAAACAAGGACAAAATTCCAAGCATCAAGTATTCTAAAGGGATGGACAGAGAAAGAAGATCACTATATGGAAGGTGAGCAAAAGTGGAATAAATGATTGGAGGCCGATGTTTGGTACTTGTAAATGTACCTCCTACTTTCCCTGAAAGGTCATCTGTGGGTTGTTTTGTTTGTTCGGATAGTACAAATCTGGATCTCCAAGCATATGACATTAATTGAAAAAGATGATTTCTTGCCTTTCTGTTTCATTCACACCAAAGAGATAGGAATATGATATCATAACAGTTGCTGTCCAGGATGCAACCATCAACTACATGGCAGTTAAGCACTAAATGTGACTGCAAATTGTAATGGGCTGAAGGAAGAAAAGGATAACACATACGCAGTGATTTGAAAGACTTGCTACTAAGAAAGAATGTGAAATGTTAATATTTATGTTGATAACATATTATCATTTGAATATATTGATTTAGTAAAATTTGGCATTAAAATTAATTTCATCCGCTTATCACTCTTCTAATCTGGTTAGTAAATGTTTAAAATTATATGTGTTGTTCATAGAAATACAAGGGGCAGTGCTACCCTAGAATCTTGGCTGAAGTCCCTTTTCTGTGACTTCCTAGCTGTTTAAATTTGAATAAGTAACTTCATTTCCCTGGATGTCAGTTTTCTTATCTATAAAATGTGAATAATACTGCCAGGCACCTGTTGGGTTTCTGTAAGGATGAACGAGTACTCAAAACACTCTCAGTGAACGTGAATTCCTAGCAGGATCGTTTCCAGAAGCCCTTGGTGAGCATGCGCACACTCTCCCATGTGCCTGGGAGCCATCTGTCTAAAATGACTAACTTCCTTTTTTTCCCTAGGAAAGTTGTTTTCCTGCCACAAGAGAATCAAGGCTTCTAGCACTTATCTGTCAACTTAGACTGTGCTCTTTTTGCAGATGTAGTGATCCCTGAGAGCCCTGAGGCCTATGTAAAACTCACAGAAAATGCCATCAGAAATACGTCTGGTAGGCATGGAAAGCCAGTGAGCCCATCCATCCCCACCCTGTACCAACCCCCCTCTCTCAGCACAGCTGCTGTATCGCTCACAGCTTTGGGGCTCACGCATGCTAAGGCATAAACCTTCCTCTCTTCCTGTTGTACTAGATGAAAGCAGCTGGTTGGTCCACATCCAAAATAAGACTTAAATAATCACACAAAATGAAGTCACTTCTCCACTTATCAAGTGGTAATCAGCTTCCTTAAGTATAGACCTCGGGCACCCATTAACAGCAGACAGGGAAAAGCCAGCACCTGGCCAGCCAGCAGTTGCACTCCCTTGGTGAGTGGGCCGATTTGGGGGGGGGAAATGCCACCTGCCGCTGGCTGGGTGAGTGACCTGGGGATGCGCTACACTGCATCTGCCTCATCTCAGAGATCACATGCAAAACAAAGGGTGAGACTGGGTCCAAAAATGCCATGGATGGTTTTTGTTGAAGAGCTGAGGATTGAATCCAGGATTTTCACATTGAACTACACCTTGAGCCCTGTTATTATTAATTATTATTATTATTATTTATTTGTCTTTGCTTTGAGACAGGATCTCACTAAATCACACAGATGGGACTTAAACTTAAGATTCTCCTGCCCCAGTCTCCCAGAGTTCTGGAATTACAGGTGTGCAGCACCATGCCCACCTAAAATATACCATTTTAGTTTGTCTTATCTCAGAAAATAATTGGAAATGAAAAATGTGCTCTACTCTACCTTGATCTTAGATTTCCCTTTAGCTATTCCTGAAACAAGAAGAATTGAAGCAAAATGGAGACCAGTTTTGCTCAGTGGTGCATGACAGAAACTGTAATTCAGGGTCAGTGCATTGGGGAAGGGTGAGGAGCTCAGCAATATAATACTGACTCTTGGGCTAGTGTACACTTCTGTTTCTGAAGACAAGCAAAAGACCAAAATGAGGGAGCATTACTGACAGGTGATTTTCCAAGCAAGACCTAGTAAGAAACCCCTTCTGCATATACATAGAAGGCCTTTCTTCAGAAGTAAATAAATAAATTCAATAAAGCTTACTTACTAATACTTGTTCTGCTTTCACCCTGGGCTAACTCCATTCTGGTGATCATTGCTCTTGTTCAGTTCTAAGACTGTAATACACAAAGGTGCACACACACGCGCGCGCACACACACACACACACACACACACACACGCAGCATGTAATTTTACCACTGAAATTGTAGCATGAACCAGGATGTAGGCCAAGAGGAAGCACATACCTGGATGGAAGCACTGGTATTTTAGCTTTCTCCTCTGTTTTTTCAGACTAGATAAAAGCAAGTCTCTGCTAGTTTGATCTCTCCAGGGAGGTCTGTTCTGAGCTAGTTTTTTGTTGGTTAACTTGAATTCATGTCTTAAGTGAATGACACAGTAATCAGATCTCCAATGGCACTTTCGTCTCCCAAGGTGCACAGATACAAATTAGAGTTGTGTCTTCCTCTGCTTGTTATATGCGTGCAGAAGGAGCCTGAGAAACGGCTACCTCCTAGTTCCTGGAGAGCAGCAGATACCATTTCAGATTTTTAAAAAGGCCTGCCGTTATTTATAGCACTCAGATGACCACAGTAGCTGGAGGAGGGAGTGGGGACTTCAGGCTGCTCAGAACCAACTTCAGAGCACTTTACATTGCCCACTCTGCTGGGACTCTTAGGAAGCACACTCACTGGTGTAACCTCCTACAAGTCTAACCCTCTAACATATAGTACTAAATTTGCTTTTTTATTACCCACTCACTTGCCCTTTCCATGCTGCCATACTGAAACAATTTCTGAAATTCTTGAAATAACTCACACAGTATGGGCAGTAAAGATTCTTATGGTTACACCGCAGGACATCACAGCGTCTTGGCGTCACAGATCCAACAACTGGACAAAGCCCTGGATGACAGCCGCTTCCAAATGCAGCAAACTGAAAATGTCCTGCGCAGTAAAACTCCCACGGGGCCAGAGCTGGACTCCAGCTACAAAGGCTATGTGAGTGTCCCAACCTATACCTGGATAACGGTTCTGTGACAAAGGAAGGTCCATCTGAAGCATGAAGGATTTACGAAGTCCCCAAACAGAGCATGCCCTCAAACTCAGGGACAGGGATGTGCAAAACAAAGCCCTGTTCTTTAAAGTTACCGCTTGAGTACAGCTGTCCCATTTCCAGGTCAGGGAGCCCATTGCAATGACCATCGTGTTCCTTTATACTAAGTACTCAGTGAGATCCATTTATTTGAGTGCAACAAAATGCATTGGCTCCCAAAGGTCATTAGCCCTTTTTCCACATTCAACTAATACATGTTGGCCAAACTTATCCTTGAATCGGCAGATTTTAGCTAATAGATTACTAAACATGGACTTTTTTTAGTTCCCATCCTAGGTTTTCAATTCCCTTATTGACCTTGGAAATATTTTAGAGTCCCCAGGTGTTTTGTTTATGCTTTGGTTTAGGTTTTTTTTGTTTGTTTCCTTTTGCTTCGTTTCCTTTTGTTTTGTTTTGGTTTGGTTTGGTTTGGTTTACGGTGCTGAGGATGGAACCAGAACTTGGCACTCTGGGCAAGTGATCTGCCACTGAGCACTGCCCGGTTCTGTGCTCCTCAGAGTGCTCATTCTGAAGTAAACACATCTGACAGGAGGGACTGGGGGGAAAGACAGGAAAGAGTTATGCATATTACCAATTCTACGTGAGCAGCTATTAGCTATGTGTGATAAAGCCCATCAGAGCTTCATTTATCCTGTTCTACTCAGTAACCTGGTAAGTTGTTTTCAGAGAAGTACCTGTATCTGTTACCTACACATTTTTAAGCAAGAGATTTGTAAAGTAAATGTCTTCTCTGTCCAATATCTTCTTTCACAGCCGAATGGATTCTTAGTAAAAGGAAAGGAAAGCTAATTTCCTGGGGTGGTCTAATCACAATTTATAGGCACTGTTTTTTTAATTTCTTTTTTTTTTGTACCAGGGATCAAACTCGGGTCCTTGGGCTTGCGAGGCAGGTTGCAGAACCACTGAGCTAAATCTCCGGACCTATAGGCACAGACACTACTGTTTGAAGTCAGGGAAGAGAGCTGTTCTAGCTGCATATGTTGATGTTAATATTCTCATGATTACTTCTAGAGGTTATTGTGAAGCCTCTTTTTAAAATTGTATTATAACTTTAATATAATTTGATGATGACCATGCTTATACCATTGAGATTATACTTAACCTCCATCAAAAGTCATCCAAGTAGCTTCAGTACCATTGTGATCTATTGAGGGGTCTGAGAGATGATGTAATGCATGGTCCATATAGCAGAAATGCCTTAAAGTGATTTTCTGTTTTATGTTTGAATTCTACAGATGATATTAGAAATGGATTTGTGAGTTTTCCCCCTAATTTTAGAATTTAGTCCCTTGGTACCTGTTATATATTGCTTAAATTTCCTCCTAAAACAGCTGGCATTAATACTGCTTTATGCTTTTAAGTAGTTCAATTATTCAATGCAGAAACATTCCCATGAGATCTGTGGTAATAATAATGTTTCCACATTTAAATTTAAGAAAGAGAAAGTAGGAGCAACTTGCCAAAAATTATATATTGCCTTATTGGCTGAAGGCTGAGATTTCCATCCCAGACTGGTTCGATCTGTTTTGATTTGTGAAATTGAAGGAAATTTTGAGGGCTTCCCATGCCAACCCAGTATGCAAAGGATAACGTCAAGGCTTTGCTCTGGGTGTTTGTGAATGCACGCCACCTGTTGAGGCAGCAGAGCCTATTTTTGGTAGAGTGGCACAGAGGGGTACAGCACTGCCACCAGTCTGCCAAGCAGCTGCAGAAATGTCTCCCTGGAGGCTCATGCCCTGTGGGAATTTTGGTGATGGGGAGCTGTTTTTCATGTCTTAACAGATGAAACTGCTGGGCGAGTGCAGCGGCAGTATAGATTCAGTGAGGAAACTGGAGCACAAGCTGAAAGAGGAAGAGGAAAACTTTCCTGGCTTTGTTAACTTGAGTGGTACCGAGACCCAGACCGCTGGTGAGTGCACCATACACACCATCCAAGAATGTAAACTGTAAGATCCTCGAGCATTTTGTCCCACCCAGCTTCCACTGTGTTGCTTTACCTCTTTCTAGGGGGTTCATTCCCGGGGCCCTCTTGCCACCATCAAAGGATCTCCTGTGACAGAGGAGGGAGAAGAAGTACCTCACCTTGGTTTTTCTTATGTGGCGTTTATTTTAAGGCACTGTCCTAATGAATCGAGTCAGCTTTTTATATGTTTGCATTCAGCATCCTGTTGTAGAGAAGAACCAAAAACGGAATAATTTCTTCAGGCACATGACTGCTTATTACTTCATAAAGTTCCTTGCAGCTGTTTTTAAACTCCATTCTCCATTAGAAAAGCTAGTAGGAAAAACAAAGCCTCTGTACTCGTTTGACTGTTTTTTCCACATGACAGCAGTAATATCCAGTGAGATATTATTGTTCATTCTGTTGTTTTTTTCCCCCATTGCTGGGGACTGCACCCAAGGCCTTTACACTAAGCTACATCCCTAACCTCTTTTTGTTTTTGCTTTTAAACTTATTCTTATTTTGAAGCAGGGTTTTTGCTAAGTTTCTCCGATAAGACTCAAACTTGCTGTCCTCCCGCCTCAGCCTTTCTCGGTGCTGGGATTATAGGCATTCACAACTGCCCCTGGTTCCATTGCCCTTCAGAGTTAGCCACCAATATGTGTTTAAAGCATTTCCCAGCTGGAGAAAACTCGTCACTCTTCGGCGCCTGTCGTTCCAGGTGTGATTGAGCGTTGGGAGCTCCTCCAGGCCCAGGCCCTCAGCAAGGAGTTGAGGATGAAGCAAAACCTCCAGAAATGGCAGCAGTTCAACTCAGACCTGAACAGCATCTGGGCCTGGCTTGGGGAGACAGAGGAGGAACTGGAGCAACTCCAGCGCCTGGAGCTCAGCACTGACATCCAGACCATCGAGCTTCAGATCAAAAAGCTCAAGGTACTGACCTTTGCTTTTCCCACAGGGGCCGAGGAGAAAGCTGCCCCGTGTAACACTTGTTCAGAAACTTCTTGCTTGAGATATTTTACCCTCACAGAGCAGCAGGGGAGGTTTCCAACAAAACTGGACGAGAATGCGCCTCTCCCACAGCCCTCCAAAGTCGAAGTATGTTCTAAGATGGTTCAGAAGGGCAGAACGGTAGACCACATTGTAGGGCTCCCCACCATGTAAATAATCACACGTAATTTAGCACATTGGCACTTTGCAAAGCAATCAGTTAGTTTCAGGAAAAGTCCAGGCACCTCTGTGACCTAGCTAATTTCTTTGTAATGTAAATAAAAATGTGAAGAGAGTGTTTTCTGGAAAGAAATCCTTTCAAACACCGTGTCTGTGTGAATTCATGGGAAGCTTTGTGATATCATTTGATCTTCTCATATCAGAAAGACTTCCAAAATACTCCTGCCATTTGCCTTTGATTTTGGTCTGAGTATAGTGTAACTTCCCTTCTCTCCAGCCCTGGGTCTTAAAATCCTTAGCCCAGCTATTGAATTGCACTCATATGTGGAAACTGGTGAGTACCCACGGACTAAGAGCTCAGTTTCTACTTGACAGAAGCTCCTGTAGCTCCTGGGTTTTGTTTGGAGAACATCAAGATGTGCTTAGGGTGCTCCTCCTCAGAGTGCAGCTACCCTGGACCTCCGGACTCAGAAGTGCATGTGCTGCTCCTGTGTTTCTGTGACTTTAGTATATGCTATTTATTTTAAGACGATGTTTTTGTGGCTTGCTTTTGGAGGGTTGTTCTGTTTTGTTTTACATTCTCAGAAATTTCCACAGTTGTATCTTTTAGAAAAGTCTCTGCACCAGCCCCGTGAATTTTGGGACAAAACACTGGAAGGGAGCTACGATTTATAGAATTTACACAATGAAATGCTTTTTTCTGTAGACTCCATAAATTAGTTAGGCAGACTTGCTTTATAACTAAATTCTTTAAAAGTTGCTAAACAAGTGCAGGGCAGAATCTGAGAGCTTAGCAGAATGATGGCAGGGAAGGAAGACTTTTGAAGTCAGCCTGCATAATAAGGAAAAGCTGCCCTACTCTTCCCTGTTCCTGGTTCTTCCTGTCTATGTTCTCTGTTAATAAATCTGTGCAATAACCTAGTACCTTCCTTAGTATTTCTTGATCTCTTATGGCCTCTGTGGTTGAATCTATAGTACAACATGTTAAGAACCCAATGAAAAGTGAAAATTTAATTCAAGTTGCAAATCTAACAGAACTAGTGAGAAATTAAAAGAAAATGAAGCCTAGATAAATGTGATTTCCAGGATTTCTTACCCCACCTTGACCTGTGGATATTTAAATGTTATCAAGTATTTGAAAATTAATACACAGTTATGTGCACACTTTCTTGGAATTGAGCTATGGTTATTTTGGAAATGTACAAAACCAAAAATCAGTCGCCCACTGGGATTGTAAAATCAAACTAAACCAATTAACTCATGAAATGCCTGACTCATTCTCTTCCCCCACAAGAATGCAGCCTGAGATTAGGCAGTTGTCCTTGGCCTAGGGGCCACTGTGCCTACTACAGGTTAAGAACTCTAGAGCCCCAGGGCCTGGAATCTGCCTTCTGAAATTCACTTCTTACTTAGGCACACAAGTTGGCATTCTGTTGGTCTAATGAATTAGGGCTATGACATGAGAAAAAAAGCAGATATTCTGGTGCTCAAAACTATTGGATCCAGGTTTGTGACGTGCAGTGACTGCATTAGGGGCTGACAACCAGATGCTTCAGTTCTTTCCGCAGAGTCATCTTCCTGCTTTATTTATGTATTTTCACTTTATTTATTCTACCCCTCCTGTATTTATTATGTCCTTTCCTCAAAGCCTCGCCAGCCATTCTGAAATATTTAATGCTCCATATGTACTCTTAAAAAATGTGGACTTGTGTGTATTCACATGTATTAATGCAGTTGTGTTCCACATTTCATTCCGTTTGGACTTTCTATTTCTTTTGTTCTACACCTTACTTTTCTTGATCCATCCCTGCAGTGAGTGACACCCAGCGGATTTCTTCTCATTACACCATTAGTACCAGTGGGGTGCATCCGCCCTCTCTTGCCGTGCCCTCCTGTTGAGGCCAGTTTTAATTAATAAACCTTCGCATTTCAGCGGAACATTTTCAAGGGTCTTAAAGTTTTTAAACAAATGTTTTATCATGAGTGCCTGTAACTGTCCCCCTTTCTCTTTTAGGAGCTCCAGAAAGCTGTGGACCACCGCAAAGCCATCATCCTCTCCATCAATCTGTGCAGCTCTGAGTTCACTCAGGCTGACAGTAAGGAGAGCCAGGACCTACAGGACCGCCTGGCCCAGATGAACGGGCGCTGGGACCGCACATGCTCTTTGCTGGAGGACTGGCGGGGTCTGCTCCAGGAAGCACTGATGCAGTGCCAGGTCAGCGGGGCTTTGGGCAGGTGGTGACTTGGAGCCAGACACCATCCCTGTCCCTTGTGGGATACAGTTGCTTCCCCAGATGAATATTTCAGTGAGATTAACTATGCTCCCGAACTTTTCATTTTACCGGAGAATTTGTACATCTAACCAGAATTTAAAGATTCTATATCTCATCAACTGTCCAGTTAAAAAAAAAAAAGACGACTCCCCACATTTGTCTCAGCCCTGTCATTCCTTCTGACTCATCCGTTTCATTCATTCATTCAACACGTATTTACAGAGCACAGAGACATTTCTTGAACATCAAAGTAAGTGTTGCACATTGTTATCCCTCCATTCCCAAGATACCTGTAGGCACCGGTGACTGAGAGCTATTGAGAATAGCCACTCTGGGAGGGTGGTCAGAGAAGTTCTGTGGGTCTCTGAGCTGCCACTGAAAGGGTGTTGCTATGAAAGAGCTCCAGTGAATGAGGTGTGTCAGAAACAGAAAAGGATGTGGTACCTTCAGGACAGAAAGGAATCCAGTATGGCCAGAATGTAGTCAGTGAGGCCGGAGGTGATCAGGACCGGGAAGGGTCAGGAACCAGATACACGGAGCATTTGAGGTCCTGGCCAGGAGTTTGGGTCGTTCTAAGCACAGCGGGACAATGAAGGATTTGAAAGCAGGTACTTAGGCTGTTGTTTCCCATTGCATCCACTGTTACCCACAGGACATCTTCAGTAACAACAAGGTATGATAAAATATGCTATACGTTTAATATTTTAAATGATCACAGTAAAAGACGTATTGCCACTAATCCCCCTCATAGCTCTCCTTACTTGGAGCACACTTATCCCATCACCCTTGACACTTTCTGATACTGTTCTGGAAATCCTCACCTGTGATATGTCTAGTTGTGTCGTCATGACTATCTTGATGTCCTGAATTGATGAAAAACATTTACAGTGATTTCTGTCACATAAAAGCACTGCAGCGTGTCTCTGCCCACCTTATTTACTGGTACCATGAGTGAGACTTCTAGATTTGCCCTAAAGCCAAAATGATTGTGAAAGGCAATTATTTTGAATTGATCTGGACATCAGAGAAATTAGGGCAGCACAACTAAGGATGCTCACAGAAGAGGACTTCTAGAACTGTGCCAAAAGGTGGCAAAAACAATGGGATAAGTGTGTTTCAAGTAAGAAGAAGTATTTTGAGGGAGATTAGTCATAATGTATCTTTTACTGTAATAATTTTTTTAATTTAAACATTCACCATGGTTGATTTCACCTCATCTGTGTTGAATAAATGAACAAATGGATAAATGAATGGGGACATAAGATTGGGCCCAGGCCTTAGAAGATGGAAAATTTGAATACACAAAGAAAAGACAAGAGAAGACTCCATTTCTTCCAAACTATCAACACTACTCCTCTTTTTGGAAATTAAGTATTTTGATGTCAACTACATGTCTACCCCACACCACCAGGGTAAAAAATGAGATGCTTTTAGTAGGAAGATAAACTCTTGGTCAGATACCTAGTAGAGCACCAGGGTCTGCTGAGAAAGAAGGCGTATTGTTGGCCACATATGGTAGCAATTGAAGAATGGAAATGTATTCTGGAAAGTTTTGTTTCCTATGGTTATTTCATGCTTCATGTGTTTGGTTTTTTTCCTCACTGAGTTTATTGGTACATTTTAGGTATACAGTACAGTTACATTCTTCATTGGGATCTTGTACCTTTACATGACAGGTCTTGGTTCTCATTTTTTTCCCCTTGTCCCTGCCCTCCCTTCACCCCCTCCTTCCCTCCCCATTTACAAACACTTTATTTCCATTTTTTCATTTTCTCCTATTTTTTTTCCTTTCCCTTATTACCTTTCTCCTACCCTTCCCACTTTCCCTACACCTTTAGCCCCTTTCTTCCTATTTCACATTGTCAATTATACCATTAGGATCTTATGTACTATTATAGTTTATTTATACCAGTGTTTTTATAGGATTTCCATGAAATGAGTCATGGTTTACTGCTTATGTTGGAGAATATTGACAGGAGGAAAAATGAAATTGTCCCTGTCGATTCTCACCTCGATGCAGAGATCCTCCAGGATCATCACAAGCAGCTGAAGGTAAGAATGTGGACAGTCTCTGGCTACTTTCAGAATGGCACATAATTTTGCATTTTAACTTGTAGTTTGGGGTCATTTTGAAACAAGAGGCAAACAGACATTGCTTAGTTATATTAATGTAAGATTCCTTAATCTTAATTAGCTTGTGTTTGGTAAGGCAGCTTTTTGGTAAATTGTGCTTATTTTTAATTTAAACTTTATATACTATATCCATGTGCCTAACACATATTTAGTAGCTATTAAAGTGGGGACAGTTAAGTCTTTGTTAGTGGAATTAAATGTATCATCTAAAACATGCACCTTTGCACCAAATTTTCTGAAAGAAAGCAAAAAGGGAGACACAATAAATTAGCTTATCATCATTACCTGACAACAACAGAGCATACCAGTTCCAAGAAGCAAAAAACTGCCAAACTGCCAAGTGTGGTTACACATTTATAATCCCATTGCACTGGGAGACTAAGGCAGAAGGATCACAAGTTTGATGCCAGCCTGAGCAACTTAGTGACTTAAGTGAGTCCCTGTTTTAAATTTTTAAAAAAATTAAAATAGATTTGGGTACCCCAGTCCACCCCCCAAAAAAAAAGCAAGAAACTGTTTCTAGGACTATATTTAAATGGAAATTTACTGCATAGGTTTTTGTGCAAAGATCTTGGACAATATAAAATTTGATGGATTTAAGTGATTTTTAGAGATGATAAGGAAACATATTTGAGTTCCATTAAGAGAAAATGCTTTGCATCTTATAGCTTTCTGTATTTTCAAAATTCTATGTCTTAACATTTAAGAGTCACTAACCTAAATTATAGAATTGGCTGCTTTTAATTAAGTACCATAAGTGTCTTAGAAGCCAAGAGGAAATAACTATGCAACTGTGTTTTTACTCAACTTTGACTTCTGGCATTAAGCTATGATTGATGACTCACACTACATCCTTCTTTAAAATCCCAACTAGGCATCAGAGTACACTTTGACATACTTGAGTTTTGCTGTATTTGGATGCTAATGTTTTATTTTTCTATTTAAAAGATGATCTTATATCTCATTTGCACAATACTTCACATTTTAAGTGCACCTTCACATACACTGCCCACAATAAAGCTGATGATACTGTGAACCAGCTATCAAACGAGAAAACTGAAATCAGAGACGTTCAGAGGTGCTACGGAGTTTTTTTGCATTTGTGTTTGTTTTTGTTTTCTGACTGAGACAGGATAAGACCACAGCCCCCAATTCCTGTAGCCAGGGTACGGCACCTTCTGAGTGTGCACACCACATTCTGATGCTCAGATATAATTCTCTACTTTGGGAACATTGTCCATTAGAGATTCTTAGGAAAAATTTTCCTCTTATATATATAAATAGCAAATAAGGCGTGAGCTGTTGGAGTCCCAACTCAAAGTGGCCTCACTGCAAGACATGTCTTGCCAACTCCTGGTCAATGCTGAAGGCACTGACTGTTTAGAAGCCAAAGAAAAAGTTCATGTCATTGGAAATCGGCTCAAACTTCTCCTGAAGGAGGTCAGTTGTCACATCAAGGATCTGGAGAAGTTATTGGACGTGTCAAGCAGTCAGCAGGTAAGTCCTCACCAGGCATCGCAGTGTCGCATTTCTTGCAGGAGTGCGGGGCACTGCTTCTCCAAAGCCTTTTAATGCAGCACTTGTCAGACTGAGTGTCCACTCTTCATCGCCGCTCCTCTATGTGCTCTCAAAATGAAAACAGCAGACTCGTAAACCTCTATAACAAGACACTGCTTTTGATTCCATCAAATTCAAAAGATCTCTTGTAATTGTTGCTGCCACCTCTATTGATAGCACTGCGGTGGCATTTTATTTCACCCTCTTTGTTTAAGGACTCACACATTTTCAGTTACTCAGCCACATTGGACCAAATCAAACATTGCAGATGAGCTTTGCATTCAAAGCTCACAAGGCATGCATTCTCCTTGTGTGCACTGTAATTAATCCATAGAAATTTTCTCTTTTCTATTTTTTCTTAAATATACTATACTAGGATAGTATTGTTGATTTTCCATACCCAGCAATGCTAAGATCTCAGACATTCCACTGTGAAATCCTGTCAGAAAACACCGTGCTTTGTCCTCTTGTAAGCATGTAGTGGAGGCATTGACTCTGAACAGCAGCAGCACCTGAAATAACAGTTTCTCTGATTCTGCAAGACAAACTGCCGAATGCCTATCACTTGTTCTAACTTAGACAAATTGGTTTATTTCTTGCCTTGGGGACGTACAGCTATCAGACAGCTCTCGTTACCTCCTGAGCCTATATCATTCACATCCATGTCAACAAGAAAGAATAAAGGTGCAATAAAAACCTATAGCTGTATTTTCCAGAAGGGCCAAGCTCTCAGCTAGGAAATCCCCACACACTGCAAGTATCAGCTGCTGTCCTCATAGCTGTCTGATTCCCTTTTTCCCAATGATCTGGTTTGCCTGGTGATGATGTACAGATGAATGAGAAATAAACAGCAGATCTCCCGTGGCTCTGGGACACAAGGTTGTTAGAAGCATCTTTTTCCTCCATAGGATTTGTCTTCCTGGTCTTCTGCTGATGAACTGGACACCTCAGGATCTGCGAGTCCTACATCAGGAAGAAGTACCCCGAGCAAACAGAAACCGGTAACTTTGCACTGGTCATTTTCAGGTAGCCCATAGGTGCAAACACTAGGCAGTGACAGTATTTTTGCCTATGATAGGATCCACCGGTTCAGAATAGGAATCCCTAGGCAGGAGAGGGCTGTCACCAGTGTAGAGCTGCTCCCTCAGGCCCCCACACCATGTGCCCTTCCAGCATGCGCTCAGGAATGGACGAGAGCAGTTCTGTTTCTTAAAAGAATCAGAGTTCAACGTGTGGATGGTATGTGGGATGACAAATTATTTTTCTTGCTCACATGGCCATTTCTAGAATGCTGCTCGTGTGTCCATTTGGTGACACCTTCCTTCAAACCACCACCACCATGTCCACCTCATGTGCCGTGAGTCCACTGAATTGATAAGACAAGTGGAGATTCACTGACCTTCAACCAAAGAGATTTCTGAATGGTGGTCTTGAAGGCTTGGGGCCCTGATCTGGCACCAGTTCAAGCCTATCCCCCGGACCACCAGGCTGGTGACAGGGCTGCCTCACAGCCACACAGTGAGGATGAAAAGAAAATCTGGCCCTGCTACCCTCTATACTTTGATTTCTCTGTGTAATTAGAAGCTTGTTTTTTTGTTTTGTTATTTTTTGTCTGGCTTTATGATTTTATTCATTCTGTTTTTCTTTAGTTTTTAGAAGTAATGATTTCATTTGTACATTTTTTTATATACACTTATGTTCTATGCTGATAAATGTATTATCCTTTTTAGGATTGTTTTTTACTACATTCACTAGTTTCCTATAGATCCTAGTTTAAGAATGTGAAGGAATACTGGCTTTTCTATTCAAATTTTAGCCTTTATTTAACCAGAATGTATAACTTGCTGGACTTCTTCCTGCAAAATAACAAGTTTATATTACTACTGAAAAATTTAATATTGATTTAGTGTTCTAAAAAGTGAAAAATAATGAGTAAAGTTAATTTATTTTTATTACCAGTAAATACACAGAGCCACTTGAGTAGGAGAAAGTCGTTCATGCTTTTACCATGAAAAATGGGGCAAACTATGCCCACTGTTCTGTAAACTCCAGGATCATAATTTATGATTATTTTAGTTACTACTAATGTAGATGTGAATTTATGTTACTTCTCTAGTAAAAGAAAAGCCAGTTTCCTTGATTCACAGATACTGATCATTTCATTTGATTTGTTTTTCCTTTGCTACACTTTTAGTTTAATTTTCATCAGTAGCTTGTCTTTATTTGCCTGGACTGAACATTCTTCTTTCTTTACCCCTGTTCATTGCAAACAGCCACGAGGCAAATGTAGTGTCTCACAGCCTGGACCCTCTGTCAGCAGCCCAAATAGCAGGTACCTTGTTCTCCTGGTTTCCACACTGTTCTAGAACCCCAAGAGGATGATGAAAATTGTCCATGATTTAGGGAGGCCTGCTTCTGGTCTGCCTCCGGGTAGTTGTGAAATTCCTCCTTACAACCCGCATACTTTCCTAGTCAATTGGAAAAGATGTTTCTAAACGGACAGCATGAGTAAATCTCAGAGCATAAAATATTTGGACCCCACCAAAATTGTGTGTAACTGCACGTTGCTCATTCAGTGTTTTTCATCAGAGTTCACTCTGAGTGTCTATACGAATTCAGTAGAGCCGGTGGCACAACTGCCATTTGATTCATGGCAGACTTTTATCATCCTCTTTCTTTCTAGATTTTACAATGAGACAGGTAATCGATCAATGAATTATTTTACCATTCACAGAACCCACAAATCTGCATAAAATATACTAACATCCCCATCTTTTTATTTTATCTTCCTGTTTTATCCAGATTGTGGGTTTTGGATTCTCCAAATGGCAAGTCCTAATTGGTTGTTCTTCATTTAAAATTTATAAGCACCTTCTCTCTTCTGCTTGCCCTAAAATTCCTCTTCAGCCAGCACTCGCAGCCACTCACCTTCCTCATACTCGGCAAGCTCTTTCACTCCGGACCCAAGAGCAGTCATTGCCCTGCCCAGGGACCTCCCGAGGGCCACCTCCCAGCCACACTGTGCTCCACAGCTTGCCTCACAGACCCTCATTTCTGCAGTTAGCAGTGCTTTGCCTTCTCTGTTGTTGATGTGGTGTCTGTGCTCCCTTGCCCTTCCACTAATCAGTTCATGTTTCCCGAGAAAAGTTTTATTTTAAAATGAAAAATGCTGTCCATGAAGCTGGTTTTTCATTCCAATCCCAAGCAGTTCACTGTGAAAATATCTGACCCTCTGGAAACTTACCACTGCTGAGCAGGGCTCTAAATTCCTGGAAGGAGGGTGGGGATAAGGAAATGTAGAACTGTAAACAACCCTGAGTAATAGTTTTAGTTTCCCAGCTGTGTGCTGAAAGGACTGACTATATTCTGTAGAGTAATTTCCACTCAGCTGAAATAATGCAGAATGTATTTTGACATGCTTTCTGATTTTAAAGCTCCATTTACTGTGGGGTTTGTTTTGTTTATTTGTTTGTTTTTGTTTTGGTTTGAGGACAATTTTGTAAGGTTTTTTTTTCTGTCCATAACAAACTATCAATAATGAAATACAGAGGGAAAACTTCCAGGGAATGTGGGAGATGATGATGGACATCTGTGGCTGCTCTGTAGTCTTCTTAACCCTGCAAGAAAAGACAACTGGTCACCACAGAAAAGTCATTGTGTTGTATAATCCCTCTTTTAACTTCCACATTGCTGGTATGTCATGAGCAGAGATGAAGAGTATCCCCATAGCATTTCCTTGAGGATACCAGAGAACAAGTCTGGTTAACACAAACGCTGGTGGTGAGAAGAGGAAAAGCTCTTATAGTCTTAGGCAAAACCAGTAGCAATCACCTCTCAGGTCCCAGAGACTGCATCTATTTGCTTCCCCGATTATCTCAAATCAGCCACATAGATCTTCTGAAAACATGAAAGGCATCATTTCTTTGGGCAGCAAGTGCTTCCATGCGCTTTCTAACAGGGCTTTGCAGGTGGGCCCGCCACATTCTCACTGTGACATCCCCAAGGCGCCTTTCAGCTCTGCTCTGTCCAGCACTGTTGATTAATATCTTTCTGAGTGTTCCACACAATGCTCATTTCTCTGCTCAGGAGGGGGTGGAATATAATCTTCTCCTGAATGGGAAACTTCGTCAAACACCATGGCAGACAGGTTGTAGTTGAACATTCTTGGGCTTCGTAAATCCTTAGCACCTTGGGTTGGGGATGCCCAGCCCTGACAATAAAATGCCAAAGTTCCTGGGGGAAGAATGAACTTCACTCACTGTACAAGCTGTCACCGTGTCCTTTTACATTGTGACTCGAGACAGCTTGTGTTTGATCTTGCACTGGACTGGCAAATCTGAAAGGTTACTGCAAAAGCATAGGAGTTTAGAATGTTGCCCTCAGATATCTGTAATGAGAATATTTTAGATACACTAAGCATACTTTCAAAGCAGTATTTATGGTTCTTTTTTTCCCTACATTTGATTTAAAATTTTCCAATCCTGCCATCAAAAACTCTTCAAAACTCCACTATTGATAACTTGAAGTTGACAAACGAGAAGATTCACTCCAATTTTCAACAGGACAGAGGAATAATTGCTCTGTAGTCTGTATAGTGTAAAGGATAGCTTCATTCTAAAGCGGAGAGTTATAAAATGCAGAATTGCCCTGGATACTGTTAGCCTTTGGCAGCTTCTGCACAGAGAACTGAGATGGAATGAGAGGGGTTGAAACATCTGGCTGAAACACTGAGAAAGAGTGAGCAAAGACCTCATTTTAAAATCCATTTGAGGTAGTCAAATATATTTAAGCAAGCCAGCAGGCTTTTTGCATGTGTACTAGACTCCTGTAAATGCTATTCAGGGTCTTATGGAATGTATTTTCATCTCTTTTGTGTCAGGCTCTTCCTACGGATCTATTTTTTCCAGGCAGTCAAAGAGCCTGGACACAGAGCAGCTTCCTCTGGAAGGCAAGCTAACCATCTACCCTGAGGTCAGCTGTAGAGTAAGGCTGCCATAGGTCTCTCTTGCCTTTTTGAGGAAGGCCTTTCCAACATTCTTGGGGAATAAGTCAGGCAGTTTAGGAATTGGCCACCTCTTTGAAAACACTGTTAGGAAAACAGGAACACTTCCCTGGGAAAAGAGGCTGAAGCCAGCCAACCCCCGGAGGCAAAAGTCAGCACACCCCTAGTATAATTATATAGTTAATAATGACAAGTCGCTGACATTTATTTAGTGCTTAATGTGTTCCAAGTACTGTGCAAAGCCTTGTGTGTATGATACTTCATTTATCCACCTCCAAACTGGCTAAATTCCCCAGTTTATAGAAAAAGACACCAGAGAGACAGGTGTGGTGGCACATGCCTGTAATCCCAGCACTCGGGAGGCTGAGGCAGGAGGATCACTGTGAGTTCGAGATAAGCCTGGGCTACATAGTGAGTTCCACATCAGTCTCAACTACATAGTGAGACCCTGTCTCAAAAAACAAAAACAAAACAAAACAAAACAAAAAGGACACCCGATTCAAGGCATGAAGATTTTGGGTATGCTTTCCCTTGTTAACAACTCTACTGAAGAGCCAGAGGTGGGTAGAAGAGCTCAAACAACAGGACCGCAGGTTTCCCGAGGTAGTGTAGTGCCAGCCAGCGTATTTGATTTGGGATGGGAGAAGCCTTGAGTCCTAAACTGATTCTAGAAACTTGTCTCCTGAGCCACATATCCAGGGAACAATGGCTTTCAAAGACCATGAGAGCAAGTGCAAGATCTAAGGCAGCCTAAATTACTTTTGAACAATACTACTACTATACTACCAGTGTTGGCTAACAAGTAACCAAATGATTTGCAAGTTTGGCTCTAAATGATGTCTTCCGAGAATTAACTCGTGTTTTCCTTGAATATGTAGAATTTCAAAGTGAGTCACGAGGTATGCAAGTTTTCAGACTTCTGTATCTTTACCATAGGTGTTTCTTTTGTGAGGTATGTTATTACATACACACCATGGGTTTGTACTTTGGAAGAGTGACACTCCTGGGTAACAAACCAGAAATTTGAAAAAGTGAGAGAAATGAAAGGAATAAGGAAGTGTTTGTTTGTAGAAAATATATGCATTTTTCTGGACACCTAAGATGTCTTCATTAATGAAGTTCCTTGAGAAAGTGCACACAACCTGAATTGGCATGTGTTTGTGGCCAGTGGAGAATGACCAGGATCTAGTCAGCATGTTGCCTTTGTTCTTTCCCAAGACCCTTGAAACTTAGGTGATTTTAATTCAACAGATAAATGTTAAAGTACAGAGTCTTCTTGAAGAAGCAGCAAATCTGGGCATGTTGAAACTCGGGTAGTTACTCCAGTGGGTGATGTTTATTTCAGTAGGTAGACTGGACATTTTCAAGAGCAGTAAACTGCATGAACTGTCACTAAAGTACTGTATGTTCTCTTTGTCCCTTTCTCAGCCCATTACTTCTCCCTAGTTTGGCTTTCTTCAGCAATAGAAACCATGCGCCAATTAAATTTTAATAAAAAATGCTCTGATGCTGTTAAATGTGCCATGTCCTTCAGAAGGCTCTGTAACATGTGACCCCTGTTCCAAAAAGTGATGACCTTTCTGGTTCTTCACAGGAAAGCACTAGTCAATGCGCAGCATTTGTTTTGATCTTGATCTTTGAACTAATTTCTCAGAGTAGCTAATAATTGACAAGGAGGGGTTATTTGGCTTTGTTGGATTACATCGTCACTTATATGTACACATCTTCCCATCACTAAAGGCCTTCATGTTTCCTGAGGAAAATAAGTCAGATATTTAGTATGAGGAAATATAGAGCTCTCTTCTGCCATTCTGTTACAACTCATCTGGCAACAGGTGATGAGTTGCTTACCAGAGCATATTTTCACATCCACCAAAGGACACACTGAAGAAAACCTCACTCCACAGTTTGTAGGTAAGCCTGTCCCACCCTTCTTGTGACACTGAAGCAAACCATTGAATCATAAACTGTGAAAGCAAAAATGATTCTAGGATATTAAGGCATCCTCCTTTCCAAATAAGAAAAGAGAAGGCCAGAGAGACTCATGTAGTTGCCTATGATTATGCAATGGCTTGGAAACAAGATGTCCTCATGTCTGACACATTGATTTGATGATCACTGTGATACTGTAAGTTTTTATGGTTGGACACGTTTATTTTAGACACAAGAAACCCACTTCCAATATTGTTAAATGTGAATATTATCTTCTTTGCTTCTACATGTAAAGTACCTAGACATACATATGGCCAGGATGACATATCATTTGTATCACCAACCAACAGATGGTGGGAAAGTCAAGAGCATGGTGGAGAGGCAGGGATTTTGGAGATCTGAATTCCAGTTGGAGCTCTTCCTTTATTTGAGGGATTTGAGGCAAATCGTTTAGCTCAAGTTCTAGTAGTTAAAGTCCCAGGGTTGAAGTTTTAATTCTGCCACTTGCTAGGCATGGAAACCTGGGCCAGTTCCTTGATTCTCTGAGCCTCTTTTTCATCATGTATAAAATGAAGCTAAATAAGCACACACCTCAGAGGTCTGTTGTGGGGATTAAATGAGACAACCCAAGATAAATACTTAGAGTGTTGCCTAGCAATCTGAAGAATAAATGTTAGCTGTCCTTAGCTACTTATCTACAAAATTAGGAAGTAGATGAGATCTCTCTAAGGCCCTATCTCAACATGAACATTTTATAATTAGATAACTTGAAAAGTTTCTATTTTCCCCTTCCTTTAGAAAGGTGTAATACAGTTCTTTTTTAATTCATTATATTTCCACAAAATTGACATTTCCCCCCCATTCAGCTCATTAGGACTAACTCACTGGCCTTAGCACTAGGGCAGTTAAGCAGTTTGGCCACTAGATGGTGATTGAACTCTTGTGACCCCCTCTTGAGAGACTGTTTACTTTGACAAATTACAGTAAGTCAGAAAGCATATGAGATGTGAGACTGAAAACTCAGAAGACCATCTAGCCTAATTTGAAGAGGTCAGTGAGAAGTTTGCACATAGAAATGAAGTGAGTTGTTCAAAGTTATAGTGTTCTTAGTTGTGGACTTCAGACAAAACACTATGGTTTAATTTAAGGGCAGTGATTTTGTTTTTGTTTTTTGTTTTTTATAGCACAAGAACTATGCTAGAAACACCATGTAGCAATGGGCTGTTTGAGACTCCTAGAGAACTAGTTTGTCATGTTTCTTGATGATTTAATAGAAGAGTTTTAAATAGTCCCTCTGTTCCCTTTTTAAGATTATATTTTTTCAGGCACTACACCACCTCCCCCACTGATACTAGAGTATCTGTCTTCAGAAATTAATAGCCAATAAGAGAGCTACAAACAATATGGTTTTCTTAGGAGCCAAACATACAGAGTTACCAGTATAGTTTTATATGATCATATTTTCCCCACACTCACACTTGATGTCTTTTCCCTTAGTGACACTAACACATTAAAACTATTAAGAAATTTATACCAGATATCTTCTTGATATAGTACTCTTTTTACTCATGTAATGTTATGCAGTTAAATTACAACTTGTAAGTAACATTTTTGTCTTCATCTTTTTCGTTAATATAAAAAAAAACTAATAGTGAGATAGGAAAACTTGGAACTTTGAGTCTAGAAATAGCCTTCAAGGTGATAATCTTTCCTCTTCAGACAAATGGTGTCAGTTTCCCAAAGCCACAGAGTTAGCTACAGAACCAGCCTAGAATCTACATCCTCTAGCAATATTCTGTAGATGGACTTCTTTGCTATTTCTTGCTCATAGAGCTTTGGAACCCACAAATGCCAGGGTCGGATGCTGGTTCAGTGCAAGGTGAAACCAGGATATACTCTAATATTAAGTAAGCTCTCATGGGTCTGTGCAAAATGACCAGCACTGTTTTTATCCTTGCTGCACGGATTTTGACATATTCAGGATGGCTAGATGGGATGCTTGTCAGAATTCTGACAACACATTTTGCCTAATAGTGTTCCTGATAGTCTGCAAAATATACTGTGTCAAGCATCTACATTTTAATTAGCCTACATTTACTTAATTTATGCTAGTAAAAGTTGCAGAACAGTTGCCTTTGTCGATTGAAATGGTTTTACCAAATTAATAGGAGAAAGAGTGGGATTTGAATTGAATTTTTCACCTTCGGTGACTGACTAGATGTATGTTTTCTGTCAGTACAGTTTCCAACAACTCTTTCTTTGCTCGGGGGGATGAGGGTGATGTGGGCGTACCGAAGAAGGCTGGAAGCTCACCGCCAAGTTGGGTTGTGTTTTGCATGGCCCTGTGGCTTCCAGGAAGGTACAGAAGCAAAAAGGAACATCTATCCAGTATTGGAATTATTTGAGTTATTTTTGTCGCTTCTTCTCCCAGGTGCACAGAAGGTGGCTCCGATTCCTCCCTTTCTGAGCTGCGGCCTGCTCGGTCAGGCCGAGCGTTCCTATTCCGAGTCCTCCGAGCAGCTCTCCCTCTTCAGCTTCTCCTGCTTCTCCTCATTGGGCTGGCTTGCCTTGTACCAATGTCGGAAGAAGACTACAGTTGTTCCCTCTCCAATAATTTTGCCCGGTCATTCCACCCCATGCTCAGATACACCAATGGTCCTCCTCCACTGTGAACCAAGCAGATGCCACCTGCCACAGTGATGGTAGCATGAGGAGGAAGAGCCCAGGAGAAGTCCCAAACTATCAAACTGAACCTCAACCTTGGCAGAAGCCCTCAGTGTGGCAGCTTTATCCCTACTCCATATTCCTGAGCGCAAGTCACAGTTTCTGAGGTGGATGAAACACAGTGAGAGGAGGAGAACGAACGGAGGGTCTGGAAGAAATTTTGTTTGAGCGTCTGAGCCTAAAGAGATTGGGTATGGACACCCAAAGTTTCCTGGACTTGTGAATTCTGGGCGTTTGGCCCATTTGACACATAGCCAAGGACTTGAGTAGACCGTCTGGGCAGCTTTCCCATGGTGCTGCTCTGTCCACCGAAGAAACAGCCCTCTCGAGTGCCACGTCAGTATCATACAATCTACCAACCAGTGAGTGCTGAAGAGTTTAGAACCCTGTGACATACAATTTCTAAGAGCTTATATGGCAGCTTTCTTTATACTTTTTTTTGGGCGTGATGTTCTAACCTTTGCTTTAGAAGCACAAGCTGTAAATCTACAAGGCACTTTTTTTAAGATATAAAGAAAAACTAGATGTAATAAAATTATGGAAGGCTTTATGTGAAAAAGAAGTTGAATGGTATAGTATAAAAAAGATATTTATGTAATGTACAGTTTGCTAAAGCCAAGTTTTATTTGTATTGATTTCTTTGCATTTATTATAGATACTATAAAATATCTTGTCTATGCTTTTTCTTTCCCTAAAAAGTGACTCTCAATTTCATTATTAAGCAGGCACTGATCTTAATAGTGCCAAATACAACCTAAGTTATATTTTCTGTGGAATAAATGAAGCCAGGACATATGTATATCTTAAAAGGAAGGAGTGTTTGGAGGTAGTACATATTTAGACATAGAAGAACCTGGAGGATTCCTGTTCCCTCTTCCTTCTAGAGCCCATCGGATCTTGTGAATTCCTGCTTCCTGAATGACTTCTTATTCTCTTCTGGTTTCCCATGGCACAGGTGGCAGCACCTCCTGGTATCTCCTGCCTAAAAACCCTTCTCTAATCTGTCCCAAGGGTCTACAACAACCACCTGAATCTCTTGAAGCTCTCTTTTCTTCACACTCTTTCTTGGCTGCAAAACTTTCTGATTTTCTTTCTTTCTTTTAACTAGCAGTCAAAATATAATTTTAGTCTGTTATTCAAGTATACGTACTTAAGATTTTATTTTCCCCTCTGACCTTGCCAGCTCCTGGAATTATTTGGATGCTCGTGGCATTTTAATCTATCATTTAGCAATTTGAAGAGCCAGAGTTCAGCCTCCTGTTGGAAATAGAAAGCAAAGTGACCAGACCACATATTCCTGCACAGCAGGAATTGCAGGGTTTATTGGCCACTGTCTCTTTAGGAACTGGGACAGTTTTCCATCTGCACTTTTATCCCCTCAATTTCCCTTGTTGCTTGTACTAGCCTGGCTTCCAAAGCTATTTAAATTTACACTTCTTGCTCTAATTCAAATGTTTAGACTAAACCAAGTTAGCTGGAGCTGACTTCCATGATTTCTGTGATACACACATATCAAGAACCACCTCTACGTGGATCCTGAGATTTATAAGCTTTTGATTTCTGGGCTGACTTCAGGCCTTCTTCAATCTATAGGGCGGGGCCTGGGCACTTGTATTTTAAACAGGTTCCTGGGCATCTTTATCTCTACTAACTGTTGAGAAGCACTGCCCCACATTTTCTTAACTTCATCTTTTTATTCTTAACACACCTTCTCTTGGGCCTTATGAGACTCAGTTCACCAGCCAGCTCCGCATTGATCAATATCCAGGTCACTTTTAGACTGTCCTTAAGCCTTCCCTCTACAGAGCTTTACTCACATGGCATTTCTTGTGCATGTGTTGTGCATCTACTGTCAGCCTGTCCCTCTCAAAACTCCCCTGGGGTCTTCCTTGGGGAACAGTGTTATTTTATGGAAAAGACAAAGCTGCCCTATGTCCCTGCTCTGGAGCATGTGCATGCGGTTGAGATGACCTCTCTGTGGGACCTATCTCTCTCTGGCTTCCTTGTCACTCCAGGCACCCAAGGAATCTCCTGTTCGTATGGAACCCACCACATGGTCACAAAGAGTCCTTGCAAAGCCAAGCACAGTGCACAGCGGAGGATTTCCTTTCCCTAGGATTGTTCACTGTCTTTGTCGTCATTGCTTATCACTGAAGAATCTGATGTTAAATATTGTAGAGAGAAGAATGTTTTGAGCCATTTAGTGAAACAACCCAGGCCATTGCCCAAAATGAGCATATGCTCTACCACTAGGTTATATCCCCAGACCTTGAAAAGAAAAAAAAATCAAATTTAATTAGGAAAACACATATAGTTTCCTGTGTGCCTTTCCAATACTCTGTGAAACACCTGATGCAGTGCACAATATGCATTTCCATTAAAGTCCTCCAGACTTTACACTGGAAAGGGAATGAAACTGGGAGCCCCAGGGAGAGTGGGCACTGAAGCCATGGGGTCCGGGCTTCCACAGATGCAACAGCTGGACCAGTTGCAGAGGAGACCAGGGCCGCTGTGCAGAGATCTCGCAGCCTCGGCACCTTGGGGGAAGGGGCACTAGGTCCACACCAAGAGGTTACCTCAGAAACAGAGAGATGCACTCCTCAAAGGCTTCGAGGAAGGGACGGATATTTCAAAGAATTCTAATGCAATAAAAAGACCTGGATGCAAGCTGGAGAGGCTCAGGTTTCTGGAGGTCTCTGTAGTGAGGACTATCAAGAGTCCTGCTGAGCCCTGGAGAGGGGAAATGATGTTGCAAGACAGAGGAACTGAGGAAGACCACAGGCAAAGGGCACCAGCTGAGCAAGGAGGGTGGGAAGAGAAGGGCTAAGAACACTGGTGGCAAGATCTGCACAAGCAAACAGGAACTATTAGAAAAGGTGAAGAAAAAAGTCTGTAGAGCAAAGGTAGAGAAACAAAGGCTTAGAACTAAAAATACTGCAGTAGGAGATTCAGGTAGAAAAGAAAGGTTTTTCAGGAAAACTACCCCTGATGAGCAAGGATAACGCCTTCAGGACGATGTGGAGGCAGCAACTTCCCTGGTATAATTGAGAAGCAACACCTTTTGGGGCTCAGAGGGAAATTCTTCAAGCCAAAAGCTGAGATTTCCTATCAGAAGGCAGGTTGAAGAGATTTATAGCCCTCACCCTGAGACCAAATAGTATGAAATTATAGTTACAAAACTGTGTTGGCAAGCCATATAAAAGATCATAAAACAAGAAACAATGGAGTGAGAGATTTATGCAAGTTGGTCATGGCCAGATAGGCAGGCCCCGGGAGGAGCAGGTCCAGGTGTGCCTGGGGCAACTCAATGGTGGGGTTCTTTGCTTTGTACCGCTGTTCTGCCCTCACCATCACCAAATATCCACAGGAAGTTGCATAACAATTACAGTAGTCTCCAAGTGCATGCCAGATGAGTCCCAAAAGATCTGGGCAGAACAGTATCCTGTAAATGCCTACTGTGTGGCCAGAACTGCTCCAGCCTCTATTCCAGTCCAGTCCCAGCTAGGGCTTCACAACTTCTTGTTAATTGTCCATCAAAGCACTCCCAGTTGGGCCACTGGTGTGCAGAATCCCTATCTCCCTCCACCACCTCTCTCCTGAAAGGAGGATAAAAGTGAAAGAGGAAACTGGAAGAGAACCCAATGCAAACTATCTAATTTAGGAGAGTGAAGGGAGATGAGTCTGTTAGATGTATCTTTATTTTCTCAGAACAAATTGCCTCTCTTTTTAACTTCTTTGTCATCAGTTTGTGTTATAGCAGGATGCATTTTGGAAGATCATGACTGTTGCTCTGTGGAAATGGAGGTAGGCAGAGTGGTTTACAAGCCGGCGGGGGGCAATTTTCAGTTTAGTCATACTCAGCACTGAGAGGCTAATTTGGGAGCAGAGAGGTGTTTTGCTGAGCATGGCCATTGTAATTTTAGATTTAATGATACACTGTGATAACTGTGGCTGATCGTCATACCTAGAGCAGCCCAGAGAGAATGAAACTGAATGGGGAGGGCATTTACTCTGCAGGTCCTGGCTTCTCACTCTCTCCCAACCATCTGTACAATATCCACCAGGAGCCACTGGGGGAGAAGCAATCTTCATTTTAGGGGAACGCTCATGCCAGTGAATAAGTGAAACGGGGCTAAACAAGGACCCCTGGAGCCTCTGCTGAGCAGCTACTGACAGTCCATAGGCAAAGGCATCAGAGAGTTGAGACTGGCAAAAAAACATGGGGCAAGGGGCTGCAACACAGCTGAACAAGAACATTTAATCCAGAACTGAAGAAGCCAACTGCGTCTGTGATGAATCTTGTTAAAACATGGAGGTAACAGAAAAATGAATCAGCCTTACAGAGTTTTTTAACATGTTACCTAATACAGGTAGAAGAACAGAACTGAATCTGTACCCAAAGTTGTATTAAGACAAAGTCTCTTATAAGCTGTGCCACAGATGTTGCATGTCATGCCGTATGTGGTCAGAAGAAACCTGACCTCTCAGTTGAAGAATTCTATCAGAGCCATGGTCCAAAGACGTAAGTCCTCCTGAAAGCATTCTTCAGGCACCTGATGGGTTCAGAAAGAAAAGCTACCAAGCACCTGCCAACATCACTGGTAGTTCCTGGCAGCCACACACCCCCACACCCTAAAGCACACATTGTGGCAGGAAGTCAGAAAAGCCCCCTCCCAGGCCCTGTGGGATGCACAGGTCAGTGGGGAGCTGCATGAGGGACGCCAGTGGCCAAGGCTTTCCTACGTGTGATTCTTGATCGCCAATGTCACTGGTCTCTGTCCCCTGGAAATTTACACTTGCACCCCAGTTGGCCCCAGGCTGGGTTTCCAGGCCAACACAGGCCCCAGCTTGCCCTCCTAATCCTTTAACCCTCCCCACTGGTCACAATGGCAAGCTGCATAAGCAAAATCCTCATCTTCCCATGACTTTTAATGTCAGCTTCACCGAACAGTAAGTTTCCACGTCGATCTGGCCTTTTAATCTGTGCTCTATCCTGTGCTATTGATCCACTGGCCATTCGAAGTTTTAATTATAATAGTAAAGTAGTGTAATTAATTATAGCAATAAAATACAGGCATAATAAATAATTCAGTAAAATATATAAGTGGTACAAATATATAATATAAATGCTATTATAATTATTAATATACTTAGTTTATTAATATAAGTTTTAAAATATCTTATGAGAAGCACCCTTTCTTGCTGTACATTTATCCATTTTAAAGTCTAATTGTTAAAAAATCAACTATTTTAGTTATAAATATTCTCTTTTCTAAAGAAAAATTGTTTCATATTTCTTTATTATTTTCTTTTTGTTGTTGTTGTTTCTGTACTGGAGATAGAACTCAAAGCTTTCACAGTAAGCTTCTTCTCCAGCATTTTTGTTTTGTTTTGTTGGGTTGGGTTGAGTTCAGTGTGATTTGGTTTTTTTGTTTGTTTGTTTTGGTTTGGTTTTGATTTGGTTTTGACACAAGTTCTCACTAAGTCACTGAGTTGCCCAAACTCTAACTCGTGATCCTCCTCCTGCCTCAACCTCCCAGAGCTTTGGGATTACAGGTGTGCACTACAATTTCCACCTTTGTTCCCCAAGTTTATGTTACCTTTCTATGCCTTTTGATTTTTCCATTCAAACCGCATACATTTTTTTTAAACTAAAGGCTATTTTTATTCTCTAACTTGAATTTTTCACTTTATAGTAATCCACTCACACATATGTCATTCATCACTAGATATCCTGGATATCTCAGGACCTTTCTTCTATTTTTTAAAATAAACTATATTGTGCATATTTGAGGTTTATAATAATGTGTTATGGGATACATATAACATCTACTATAGTGAAGTAGACTAACATTGCTGTCATGTCACACTGTTATTTCATGTGTGACAGGAACAGCTAAAATCTACTTATTTCACAAAAATCCATAGGAAATGAATTTTACAAACTTTCGTCCTCCTGTTTAACATTGATAACTATACTAGTGCATATTTATATATCTGTTCTTTGGCCTCCATTGACCTATGTTTTCCTACTTCTTCCTCTATGTTTGTATATTGGCTAGAACCTGGGTAGGCCTGGGGACATTATGCCAACTGAAATACATTAATGTATTTAGTCAATGGTTGTTTTCTTCCAGGAATATGCTAGTAACAGATGTGTTAAACATTTTTGCAAATACATGAATGTATAGGCTTGAGTAGTGCTGCTTTTCTTTCTCTATGACACTTTGTTCAAGGTGGAAACACTGAATCAACAGGTATGTCCTTTCTAATTTTTAATACATTTCAATAAATTCTGCCACATTACTTCCTGAAAAGTCGCAGTGATTTACACTCCCGCTCACAGTGAAGATGGGCCCCTGCTTTTCCATACAGCCTCCCTAAAGCCACACCATTGCAGGCCAAACTTCAGAGTTATTCTGAAATTATTAATGCCCAAATTCTACATATTTGAATCTCATAGAACTTTTAACAATTTAGAATCACAGACCACACCTCAAAACAATTAAATCTTGAGTCCTGAGAATCAGTATTTGTTGTTCCCTGGGCAATTTTCATGTGATCAGCTTCCGAAAATATTACCCAACTCAATCTACAGTAGTGCATTGTTTGTAAATTTGCATTGTCATGACTAGTTTACATGGTAATTTTTCCACTTGGACTATCTCTTCTGTAAAACTTGTTTCTTCCTCTGATAATTTTCTCTTTTTTTTTTCACATTTTCCTGTTCTTTTCAGGGAAGTCATTCAATAGGAGAGAAATTAATGCTTTATATAATTTGTCTTGACTTAAATGGTTCCTCTAGTCACATAGAAAGTTTTTATCTTTATGTCATCAAATCTGACAAGTTTTCTCTTTTTTCTTTTTTTGGTAGATACTGGACAGTTTGTACTAAAAAGGCCTTTTCTACTGCAAATGTTTGCTTGTATTTTATTCTAGTAGATCAATACTCTCTCTAGAATCATTTTTGTAGTTAGCATAAAAGAATTACTTTTTCAGTTTCCAAAAGGATAGATAATTGTTACCAAAATAATATGAAACAAACTGTGCATTTCTGTTATTACTATGTTATTACATTTAAGACATCAAGGAAATTATTGAATAAATAGTAGTACTATAGTTCATGCTTAGTATTTATCATGATACAACGTGGGGTTTTTTTGTTGTTTGTTTGTTTGTTTGTTTGTTTTGGTACCAGGAATCAAACTCGGGACTGAGCTAAATCCCCAGCCCATATACAACTTTTTTAAAAGAGACCAATTTGTATGTTTTGATTAGGGAAGATGCCCATTTTATATACTTAAATTTTAAAAGTAAGATGCAGGATAATTTGTGTAGTAGTATTGTCTTAGTTATTTTCTCATTGCTGGGACAAAATACTCAACACTCACAAATTAAAGGAGGAAAGGTTTCATTTGGCTCACATCTTGTAGGGGTTTCAGTCCACAGTTGGCTGCTCCAAGTCAGGGGAGCGTGGTAGAGGCAGAGCACAGAGTAGAAACAGCTCATGGCATGCTGGTGTGGAAGCAGAAAGGGATCAAGGGAGGAGGAGGGAGATGCATTCTTACAGGCCATGCCCCCAGTGACCTACTTCTTCCCTCTAGGCTTCACCTCCCAAGAACATACCCAGCTAATAAACTCATCAGAGGACTAATCTACTGAGAAGTATCACATTCCCATGATCCAATCACCTCCTAAAATCCTCACCTATGAGTGCATGAGGTGTTGGAGGGCCATCTAGCTATGAACCACAGCAGATGCCAGTTTAATTAAAGGAAAAGCCATGTGCATATATTAATTGGACAAGGCAAGGAAAACATTTGGAGAGACATGAATGAAACATAAGCCTTAATATTGTGACTGGAGTCATATGGTAGAAAAACCATTTTAAACACTTGTTATTTAAATTTGACAGGAGTATGGTGTGGCTTTTAGATCCAAATCACTGTAAGAATGATGATAAGTTTAAAAGGTAATGGAAAAGGCACTTCTGTTCTACATAAGGAGATGACATTTGATTTGCATTTTAATTTAGAAGAAAATTGTTGGTATGCCCCAAATAAATGATCGCATGTCATTTGTCATAAAAGGAAGAATCCTAGTAGATGCCCTCATACCAGATGTTCATTCTGAATGATTGGTTTTAGGGAATAAGAATAATGGTAGCAATAGCCATCAATTCAAGATAATAAAGCTTAGCTGGGTGTGGTGGCACAGGTCTGTAATTCAGTACTTTAGGAGACTGAGGCAGGAGGATCCCAAGTTTGAGCCTAGCCTGGGCAATTTAGCAATTTAGTAAGACTCCGTCTCAAAGTAAAAAACAACAACAAAAAATGGCTGGGCATGTACTTCAGTGAGAAGGCCCTGAGTTCAATTTCTAGTACCAGAAGAAGGGTGGGGGGAGCTTGCTGACCAAGGAATTCAATGAACCCCCAAAGAAGAGTTTCCCTGGGAGAGATATGCACTTGAGATTCATTTGTTCAGGAAAAAAGCAAAACTTCTTAAGCTATCACCCATCACCAAAAGTCACCCTGCTCACAGGCCTTCGCAGCAGGCTGATCCTTACAAGTGAGTATTATGGGAAGTGGTGGGGACCCTGACCTTGAGGGAGAAGGCCCAGGCAGCTTCTCTTCGGGTCTTTCTTTACTGACTCAGATTCCAGAGATCAACTTGCTTTGTTTTTGCCTGAAATCTGCTCCTCTTCAACAACATTCCTCTAGATTCTGCCTACTCAACCTTGGCTTTCCAGGGGCCCCATTCCTCCCCAACTCATAGCCCCTCCCCCAACCTCTGCTATGGTGTCTACTAACTAGGACAGAACTGTTGGGGACCCAAGGATCTGGGCTTTGATAAAGCTCATCCTGTCCAAGTCTTAGAGAAGCTCTCCTTATAGCGCAGACTCTGGACTACCTCAACCACTTCTTAGCTTTGTAATCTGAGCGAGTTTCTTAATTTTTCTGGTCCTCAGTTTCCTCCTCTGTAAAATGGGATAAAAAGAGTACCTAGCCGGGCGTGGTGGCGAATGCCTGTAACCCCAGCACTCGGGAGACTGAGGCAGGAGGATCACTCTGAGTTTGAGACCAGCCTGGGCTACATAATGAGTTCCAGGTCAGTCTCAACTACATAGTGAGACCCTGTCTAAAAAAAACCAAACAAACAAAAAAGTACCTACTACATGGGGTTGCTATGAGGATTACATACACTCTGTCATATGTTAAAATAGTGCTGGGCATGTACTAATTGTTAGTTAATTATACTATTTTTATTACTTCCTCTACTTTTAGTTTTATTTTAGAAATAGTTCCTGGGAAGAGCTTACCAGATCTTTTCACCACGAGTGTTCTAACCTTTTTTGGGAGAAGATTTCTTAGAATCATTCTTTACTTTTTTAAATTGTGTTTTTAGAAAAAACACTATGGAACATGAGCTGTGTTCTCAGAAAATCATCAGTATACAATGCAAGATCGTTGACCCGAATCACAGTACCATGGGGTAAATCTCAGTCTTAGAGTCTTGACAACTCTACAGCAGCTCAGTCATCCGCCAGTGGAATGGACGGTATCCTCCCAGTTCCTTTCGAGGAACTCCCTCCAGACCGCACCAGTAGGGACATGCCTGGCCTCCTCCTTGAGCTCTTCCTCTCCGCTCACAGACAGCATGCAGCTGGATGCTGCACGGCAAAGATCGGTAAACTGCACAACTACAGCCTGGCCCTGTTTTGACAAGCCCTTGAGCTAAAGATAGATTTTATATTTTCAAAGGGTTGTAAAGCAGAGACCGAAAAAAGCCTAAAATACCTACTCTGATACCTTAAAGAGGTTTTCTGGCCTCTGAGATTGAGTTTCTTGGGACAAACACTATTCATAGCTCTTGTGACTGCTTTCTTTCCAGAAACTTCTCAGATGTGGTTATGCAAGGTCTACTCAGCATCCCTGGCCTCTACCACACTTCTGTCTGAGTTATTTGTGGTCCCTCCCCTGAAACACTTCAGCTTTCGTAAAGAACCCTCTCCTTTTTATTTTCCTCCCATGTTGCCTATCCTGTGTTTGAGGATGATGGGGGTTTCAACCT